TGCTGATGATAATGTGTCCTACTTATGTTGCATTTAACATGCACTTTAGGCATATTGCAATTGAGTGCAAATAGAGAAATGATTGCTATTCTGTAAGTGCTGCCACTGTTTCATCGCTACTTATTCATGACTGGGTTAAAGACCATTATCATAATGTAATCAAATTTAATGCACAAATATTTATTAAGTGCTGTGTTACTAATGATTTCATTCACCTTTTATGAATAATTGTATTTAAATAGTCAGAATGCAAATTGCAAACACTAATTGTCGCTAGGTAGGACAAACATGTCTTATCCTACCTCACACTACGTAATATACGCAATTTGCAAAGATTAGCAAATGATTTCCATTGCATCTGCTTTGACCTGTCGTTGACCCTTGTATGAAACCTTACTTTTAGTACATATTCTATGCACATGTTGTTTTATGTCCACTGTGCTCTAAATATGTACATCTTGTGTGAAATCTACTGCAGATATGAAGTCAGCCAATTTGCCAGTTGGGTTTATATACTCAGAAGGGAGATTTTCAGTATTAATGAGCTCATTACAGAGCAGTCTTTATTAGTACATGACTACATGTACATGTATGTAACAGGGGTTGTACACTATGTAGGGTGCTTCTACATAATCAGTAGTAGTTCTTCAAGCCCACCTCCCCCACATCAGGTCTTGATTATGAATGCATTTAAGTAGTGAGGCACATGTAGAAAATGAGTGCAGGAGAGCGGTGAGAGCATTTAAGGTACATTTTGTTTGTTTAGATCGTTTGAAGAGAATGGAGCTGGAGGGATATAGATGAAGATAAACAGGAAGAAGGTGAAGTGGAAAGAGGTCGATGATGAAGATGGATGGTGAGGATGATGACATTGGACAGGAAGATGATGGTTTGGAGATGGAGATGGTGAATGAGGACTGTGGGGTTTAGCCGAATGTGGATACAAATTGCATGGGATGATGATGCTCATACTGTTGGTGATGATTAGTATAATGATGGGTATGTTGGTGATAGTGGTGGTGGTAGTGGTGGTGGTCGTGGTGGTGGTGGTGGTGATGATGGTGGTGATGGTGGTGGTGATGATGATGATGATGGTGATGATTTTGTTCGTTTTATTTCTGATAATCAACATGAAAAATCAAAGACTTACATATTATAACAATAATAGAATGATAAAACGGTTGGATAGTCCATTTCAGAGCCATTAACCTAATGGCTCTGTTCTTCCATAGAGTCCAATGATGATGGGGATGTTGATGTTGATGTTGATGTTGAGGTTGATGTTGATGTTGATGTTGATGTTGTTGTTGTTGTTGTTTTTGTTGTTGTTGATGATGATGATGATGATGATGATCATGATCATGATGGATGATGATGATTGATGATGATGATGATGATGATGATGATGATGATGATGATGATGATGTCGCTGATGGTGATGATGATGATGATTGAGGTGGCGGTGAGTTTAAGATAAGCTATGTGAGGAGAAGAAGATTGGTGACAAAAAGTAATACTGGTGATGTTGATGATGAACGTAATATTGCTGATGGTGAAAGTAATACCGATAATGATGTTGATGATGATGACAATAATAGCAATGATAATGACGAGTACAATCATAATAATGAATAGGACATTAGGTAACAGTTTTAAGATGATGAACATGATGATGGTGGAAATTTTGCGATAGGAGTTGAGTTAAGGAGGTAAATTAAGGAGGATGGATAATGGTGGATGTGAGAGTCAAATGTAAACAAGATTATGCTAATGGATGCAGAGGGGGAAGCAGATGTAAAGGGAGATGATTTGAAATTATAAGAAGGAAGGTGACAAACAAGGTAATTTGTAGAAGGCAAAGAAAAGGAAATTTAGTCAACAATCATGACATTTAATGAAAATAGAATGCCCTTACAGATGACAAGGGAAGCAGGAAGCACAGATAAAACACAAGTAGGAAAATATTTGAATAAAATACAGCTACATACATTTGTACATGTACAAACGCAGACAAAAGAATAATTAAACGAGGATGACCCAAAATGTGTACGTGTACGCATCTGTCTGGTTGCCATACCAGCGAAAAAGGAGACGTATATTCTCCGAGCTACCATTGCCCTGTGAACAATTCATATTGACCTAGAGCTAGTGAGCCTAGCACTGTACCGTTGCCACGATCATGGTCGCCGAGACACAATTAGATCAAGTCATTGCTCGCTTTCATTTGACCTTGCGAGTAGCCCAACGACTATTGTAACCAGTCAACACGTTGTACAAATTAGTACACAATACATTGGATGAGTGAACTTTATGCACCGAAACATGATCGCAAAGAGAGTAAACACACATTATACATGTGGGCAACAGAAGCTCAGTGGTAGTGCAGTGGTCTGGTAACCGGGAGGTCTCGGGTTTGAAACCAAGCTGATATACTAGTTCCTTTTGATGAGGCATTAACAATAATAATAATACACACCATTTATTTGGCGCTTAATATAGGTGTTTCTAAGAGCACCATTGACTGACTAATAATTTTCAACCAAAACTTATAATAAACACATAAATTATAAATTTGTTCTTTTTTCAATAAATCATGCATATATAATAATAACAATAAAAATGAGATCAAACATAAGGTCAAACATAAGATCATCATTAATCCTCATTATAGAGTCCCTGGAGAGGACTTACAGATGTTGGTCCTGTAGTTCCTTACTTTTAATACAGTACAAGCATCTTCATGCTTTTTCAGCAAAATGTATTTATAAGAGCAGCCTTGATATTTTTTTAGTTTGAGGTGGATTAGATATTTGTATTTTAGCCAACATCTAATGTACATGTATGTGTTACGGTATGTAGACAATAAAATTATTTTAAAAAAAAATGATAAAACAAGATTGAATGCTAGGCACAATAATTATCAGATTTCCTTTGCCCTTCAATTCATTGCCCAATTCATTTTTTTTCTTCAAATACTTAAATTGCAATTCTAGCATTTGAGATAATGAATCGATTTTACTTGCTTTATCAGAAGACATACTTTTGTGTAAACTTTGAGTACATTCTCTCTGGCTACAAGTATGTTAAAAAAAGCAATCTGCCATTTTTTGGTCGGGAAACATGAAAGAAAACAAAAAAAGTATTTCTGCAATTTATTCCAATCACTTTACATTGCATCAAATATCTAGCTTAAGGGTAGGATTTCAGACTTAAACATAACATACATGTACTTGTGACTTGTGAGGGTATGCAATTATAGATTTTGTAGTCATGAATTGCAGATTCCATTGAAATAATGCACAGATTTGTATGAGACCGCTGTACCACGCAAATCACATGATACAGTTTATGGAATTCCTTTTCCCGGTATTGCGTTGGTCAATGATTTGATGATTACAAGTATTTCATATTAGTTCCAGAAATAGATGTGTTAGCTAGGATACAGTTCACAGAATTACATTTACTCTTTTCCTGATAATGCGTTGGTCATGAATGTATTATAATCTAAGAGATGTGTAACAAGTCTAACAACTATGTCATACATGTATTCGTTCCAGAAATATATTAGTAACTATCCAGAAATAGATATTGTTGCATTCGTTAGTATACAGTTCACGGTATTATCTTTTTTCTGGTATTTTTCCATTCACTCAAGAAATAGACGAGTAGGTGGCTAGAAATAGTCGCTTTATGCGCTCACTATTTTTAAAAAGAGATTTAAAAAAAAACAAAAAACATTTACATGCCCTGGCAGTAACTTTATGAAGAATATGTTTTTTGTTGAATGAGTTGATGAGTTGAAATCAATATTAGGAATAATGGAATTTCACATATTTTCATCCATTCATTCATTTATATTTATTTTCAAATAATCATGCAAATATATAATATTAATTGATAAGAAGTATGTGTTTTTATCTAAATCTAGTAAATGAAACATTTAAAGTAAATGCACAACATATGATAAGTTATAACCTTATGGAATTTTTTTGTTGAAAACACAAGGACTTGCTATTAAAATACATGTACATTCATGTATATTGCATGTCAAGACATGTAAACAACAAAATATGCACACCAAAGGTAATTTCCATGCTCAACACACCATTATGCACGAAATGCTCGAAAATGAGTTTCCACTATTCTAAAAATAAAGATTAATGTCCGATTCGACCACTTGAGAACATTTTCAGAAAATGTGCAGCTGTCGAGTGCGTCCCGTTGGTGGCAACATGATCGCATCTCGCCCGTTGATATTCGATTTGAAATACAGGGTTTCAAAATATGAGGATTTGAGTAAAATAGGCAAAGTTTTGTAGCAGATGATGGGAAGTGATGTTAAATACTCTTGTTACTTTTATGAAATGGAATGGGACATTAAGCTGAAGGTGACATTAATGTGTTTTCACTAAAGGGTGGAAAATGATTATTGATTGACGCATTTTATATTTGGTCATATTGTAAAAACATATTTGGGTAAATATTGATTTTAAAATATGTTTTGAGCAAATATTGATTCAAAAACATATTTAGAAAAAAGATATACCCTCAGTATGTTTTGAACAAGTTGATAATGGTGTAAATGTACAATTTGTCATTCTTTGGATGTTCTTTGTTTGGAGGGAATAATACATGTTTTGTTTGATATTAAGAAAACAATTTATGTCGTCTTTTTTGACAGTCCAAAGAGGCATGTAATTTTTACAAGCTTTATGAATACAGTGTTATTATTATTAGTCAAAGAATAACTTTTTATTTGTCTTTAGCACTAATTTATTTATGTAATCTTTTTTTCTCTCATTCTCTCTCTCTCTCTCTCTCTTTCTCTTTCTTTCTCTCTTATCTTTCTCCCTCTCTTTCTTTCTCTTGTTTCGCTTTCTCGCTTCTTCTTCTTCTGCTCTGTAATTTCTTTCTTTTTCCTTTTCTTGTTTATTTTCTTGTTTCTCTCTCTCTCTCTCTCTCTCTCTCTCCCCATCTCTCTCTCTCTCTCTCTCCCCCTCTCTCTCTCATTGTCCTTTGTGCAGATTACTTGTGTGACCCAGATGCCAATATCTTCAGTATAGACTTCACAAGGTTCAAGATCAGAGATATGGAGACGGGGACAATTTTATTTGAGATCGCCAAGCCACCACCATCAGGTTTGCAACAACAAAAAATGTTTTAAGAATGTTGTTTGAAATGTAAAATCTAGGAGGATGGATGGAGGGGGGGAATGGGGGGGGGGAATGGTAGAGGGTGAGAGAAAGGAGAGAAGGTGGAGGGGGAAGATGGGAGGGGGAAGAGGGAAAGAAGGAAGAGGGAAAGAAGGAAGAGGAAGACCAGAGTTTTGGAGACAGGAACAATTTTGAGATTGCCTTCGGCCATTATCAGATTTGCAATAAAACATTTATTAGGAGGGAGGGAGGGAAGGAAGGTAGGAAAGAGACAAAGAGATTCAGAAAATAAGAAAATATAATTCTTTGAGAAAGAAGGACGAAAATGAAAGAAAAAAATGAGGAGACAGAAGAACAAGAAAAGAAAGTAGACATGAGTGCAAGAACTTTAACGGTAATGCAGGATTTAAGCTATCTTTAATCATCAGCAAGATGTTATGTGAAATCATTTTGAATATACATATACCTAATTCTGTTTTGGCTGTAAATGGATTATTTTTCCTCTTGGTTTATTAAAAGATCTGTTCCTTAAATAACTTGGCTGGAACAATGCATCTAATCAATTGTATTTTTAAGGAAATACACCATCTGAGCCTCACAAGGCCTTGTTGATTAAAATACTCAAATTGGCTGACTAATTATGGATACCGTAATAAGGGTCATTAATTAGGGGGGGGGGGTAATTAATCCAACTTGTCTGTGTCTGTAACAGGATCAGGAGGAGAGAGGAGAGGAGAGGAGGAAATGAGGAGAGGGAGAGGAGAATGAGAGGGGGAGGAGGAGTAATGAGGGGTTATGAGGGGGAGCGTGATGAGGAGGATGAGGAGAAGAAGAAGAAAAGGGAGGGAGAGATATGAAGCATGCAAGTGGGGGGGGGGGGGAATGGATGGGAGGCCATTGATGGATGATAGGAGGTTTAGCGAGCGCAAGAGGAAAGACCAAAAAAGGAAGAGATAAGAGAACAAAGAGGGTTAAAGAAATTGTAGAAGGTAAGGGAGAAAAAAAGTGAGGACCCCCCATCAAAATTCACAAGAAATATATTTGTAATAATGAAGATATTATGACATGTTTATTACAAGGTGTAGGCGGCGTAGCAAACTGGTATTGCCTTTTGAACGACATCTTTATTTATTGAAATGGGTCGTGTGTGACTTTTATTGGAGTTAATGATCCAATCGTGGATGGTTTATTGAGCTGACCTCAAATTCAGCACATAATTTTATCAAGTTAAAGAAGAGAAATCGTTCGCATATTAGATGGATGCTGATGAAATTATCTTTTTAAATTTGATCAGTAACTAATGTCCATTGATATATCTCTAGTGTTACATAATATCCTGTAAAGAGGGGAGTAGGGGGACAGGGGAAAGGAAGTTTTTATGAAATTTTTGATAAAAATGGTTTTCTTTATGAATTTTGTTATGTATTAAGAAATGCTATGCCTCGAATTTTAATATATTTTTTTTTCGTCATGTAATTTTTTTCTTCAATGGAAAGTAAATTTGTTTGGCCAAACAGATGAACAAATGCTTTATTTGTTATTGTTTTGTCTGTCTAGTAGAATATAAGACAAGGAAGGCTACGTTTTGAGCCTATTGATTGTACATTTCATTACCCGTATATCACATGATTCATGAAAAAAAAAAAAAAAATTGTTATTTTATTGTCAACCCCCCCCCCCCCCCCAAGACAAAGTAGTCAGTAGTTGTATTAAGTGTAGGTTTTTTTTTCTTCTTTATTTTTCATAATATTTTGGTGAAAATAAGTTGGAATAAAGTGTGTTGTGAGACATATTTCTGGGAATCCCCATGAGTACATGTAGCTTATTGCATTGTTTGGGGTTATCAGAGAGCGTTTTCATTTAATAACCTTATGTAAATCCGGCCCTGTTTCATAAAACTTGTCATCAATAAAAAATGCTGAATTTCTAAGACAAATTTGCTCTCAGCCAATCAAATGCCACGATTTCAGTAACTTATAACGGTTGTATTGTAACTAAGGCCTAAAATACAAACTGGTTGTATTGCCCTTTGCGACCGACCCAAAAATCTGAAAATCTACGGTCGGCATTTAAAAAAAAGTTTTTAAAAAAAAACCGTTTTTTAGATCTTTTTATTAAAAAAATATGTATTTTGTTTGTTGGGATAAATGGGACAAAAATGCATAAAGGCAAATCATTCCCAAATTCTCACTCGTCTTCTGCCCTAGTTTTAAAATCCTAGTAGGCAAGCGTAAACATCTCGATCAAGACAACATTGCAAACCATGGATTATTATGAGGTGAAAAAGATATGAATGAAATGATGACACTGAAACACATGTATTAAAGCATTAAAAACTGAGAAATATAAGCCAAAAGAGGGCGAAAAAAACAAACAGTCAAACTTAAAAATATCGGCCCAAAGAGGGCGACAAAAAAAAGTAAAAAAAAAAAAAAAAAAACTTTTCCGACCGACCGACCCATGTTTTGGCACCCAAAGGGCAATACAACAAGTTTTTATTTTAGGCCTAATTATCGATAACAAGTTTGATGAAATGGGGTCCTGATTTGTTTTTCATGTGCAGAGAATGATGACGATGTGGAATCAGAACCGGAGGACGTCGATCCCAATGCTGGAAGATTTGTCCGCTATCAGTTCACACCACAGTTTCTCAAGCTGAAGACGATCGGCGCAACGTAAGTTTTGTGTCATCGCAACGCAGGATATCTATCACTTCTTTTCTTTGCATATTGCTCGTACAGTCAAACCTGTCAATAGCGACCGCCCAAGGGAAACACATAAAGTGGTCTTTGTAGACAGGTTCCTTTAGTACATGTTTCAATAAGAAACCATTTTCCAGGTGTAGACAGGTGGTCACTAAAGCAGGTTTGACTGTACTCACGAAACAAAAAAGATTTATGGGGCGTACAGGAATTATCTATCGATTGCGAGGAGGGGAGGGGGGAAGGGGCTTTGATGTTAATCTATCCAATATATTTTCAACAGCAAAATACCACATACATATAAACACTGAAGAAGAAAGAAAATATTCTCTTTAAGATAATTATTTTGAGGTTAGACATTTTCTCTTTACAGTTCACACATGCACCGAAAAATAAAAAAGAAGAATAAGAAAACAAAACTCATAGTCGAACAAAACGTGTCAAAATGCCCTTTTAACAAATTAAACTATTGTAATTTCAAAACAGTCCAAAATAGATGCACTGTATGCATAATTCTAAACAGAGGGTAGCAATTTGCCTCAAGATATCTGTATATATTTATTCACCAATACATTAATTACCATGTTTTCTCTTTATTCCAATATTTTCTAAAGGATTTTGTCAACAACTATTGCTCTGAAATTGGTACCATAACATCATTGGAAATGTAGATTTAATCCTTTTTATTTTTTTTCCACTCATTTTCTAAATATATCTACAGGGTCGAGTTTGTGGTCGGTGACAAACCAATCAGTAACTTCAGGATGATCGAGAGGCATTACTTCAGAGATAGATTGCTCAAGAGCTTTGACTTTAACTTCGGTTTCATCATCCCCGATAGCAAGAACACCTGTGAACATATATACGAGTTTCCTCAGCTATCGACGGACGAAAGTGAGTACTGGTTTTAATAGTAAGGGTGCTGCGATGATGCTACGGTGACGATACGATGCTAGTGTTCCACAGATAATTTCCACACTATCCAAAGTCCCAACTTTTAATCTTGATGCAACACATTATTTAGCCCTGACCCTAACTCTTAACTCCAAACCTTAACGATAAACTCAACCATAAACCTTATTCTAACCTTAACCATAAACTTAACCATAAATTTACTCAAATCGTAAACACAACCCAAATCCTTAGCTAAAATACAATTGCAACCCTAACCCTTTATCTAAGATGAAATAAAGCCTAGAGATTTGTCATTCATTGGGGGGTTTTACTCATCAAAGATGAAAGAACGGTCTGAAACAAAGGGTGTTTAAACACAATTCCCGTCTACCAGCTATGAATTATAGCCATCCAAACAATGCAGTCTATTTAAGAGTCCAAATTAAATTCATGTGGTTGAAATCACTCATTGAGAAGCTGAAGAAAACATGGATCAGGGACGCCTCCTTTCCGTAGCATTCGGTCCATGAAACGCTTGGAGCGATGCATGCATGCATCAACGGTGACATGTTTGACAAGTCAGGCTAGAGAAAGAAGAGATTGTAACTGGGTCGGAGCAACATTGCACAACATTTACATCATTGCCCAGTCTGCCACCGTACCCGACCCGCTTGCGTCATCTTCTGTGGCGGTTGAAATTGAAGCATGTTTGGTAGATTAGCCGTGCTGTTTGACTAACTCAAGATGGGCGTAAACTACTGTAGAACACAGTATATGACACAATATGACACATTATGTCACAATTTAAAATGATGGGGTTTTTCAGTGTTTTCTTTTAATTTTCTTCAACGTGATGACTATAATTGTTTTGGAACCAAATGAGTCCAACAGGCAAATGTAATTGGAATGTATTTTGAAGATTATCTTTGCTTATTAAGCAACACAAGTAGGGACTGTATAAGGTACTATGTACTGAAGGATAAATAGTAAAAACTGTACCAAAATTAAAAGAAATGAGTTTTTTTTTCTCTTTATTTAAGTCTCTGCATTATGACTACAACTATTTGAGAAGCCAAGTGGGAATATCTCCAATTCTAAAATGCAATTTTTAATCATTTATTTCAATTTCACGACAGAATTCACCTTTGACAAGCTCAACAGCATGTCAAAGGTATCACTTACCTAGCAACAACTTACGCATGCAAACTAACAACTGACCCCAAAAAATTCAACCCCTTGAAACTTGGAATAGTTGAATAAGATGTTTTATATATTTTGTAAGTATTATTGATATAAAAATTCTCAATGGGAATGCATCATGAAATAGTTATTGAGAAATAATTAATTTTGCATGGGTTATAGGACACATACATGTAATGCAGTTGAGATTAGCAGAAGCACTATAAGGAATTAATGGCAATATTATAAAACCTGATATGCCTCCAGTAAACAGATTGTAATTGGGTTGATACCCCATGATCACGGTCTCTTGGTAGCAGATATTGGTGAAGTAGCTGCAGCAATTGCAACCTTCATGAATTGTTGGCTAACATGAACCGGGCTTATGTTTAATGTTCAACCCAAAAATGTAGCAGTGACTCATGTATGTTGTGACTCAGCCGCTTCAGGGCACAATGTTAATGTATATTTCTTGGGTATTTTCATCGGTATATTAGGCCTGTTTTCATCAGCTCCAGTTTGCCAAATAACCCGCTATTTTAATCATCCCGATCCAAATTATCCAGCTAATTTGCGTCTTCATCAGCCTGCAGTTGCAATTAGCAGGATATTTGGTCAAGATAATCATCCCAAGATATCTTGGGCTAGTTTGCAAAATATCCCGATCTTTGGCAAAATATCCCGCTATTTGTTTGGTCCGTCTTCACCAGCCCAAAGACTCACACTATGCGCAAACGCTGAGCAAAATATCTCGAGCTAATTTCTCCAGTTTCGAGTTCAAGTTTTGAGCTGATGAAGATGCGGTTTGTAACTTCAGGCTTATTTCCAAAATCAAAAATAGCGGCTATTCGGCAATCTCGAGCTGATGAAGACAGGCCTGGTGTTTGTGTATATCTCTCGGGTATCGTCATGGGTATATTGAGGATCAAATATGATTGGCCTTGCCTGTTAGTGTTAACCTTGAATAAGATTCATTTTTAGGAAGGTCAGATATTTTTCATGTCTGGCTTGCTTCCACTGACACTGTCTGAGCTCTTATGTTGCCTGTTCCATATACTAGTAATTTGGAGTTGATGAAATAGGAGTAATTGAAATGAGATATTACTTTTGTATTGAGCTATTTGTTGAGCCATGTAAAGTATGTACCATTGCCCAATTAATACTTCATTGGTATTTTTCCCCCTAAATATTGTAGTAGGCACATTGAATTGAAGCAAAGTGATTTCATCTAAGTATTTTTTTGGTTAATAATGGCACATAGTATTACATGTAGGCGAATACAAAATTCACCTTATTTATATTATTATCGTTGTGGTTATTATTATTATGTTTAATTAGTGAATGATGGATTTACGCCTTGATTTTAACTTGATTTTTCCCCTTTCTTTCTTGTCATTTCATCTCTCCCTCATTTTCTTGTCCTATCCCACCTTCTCTCCATCTCCCTCCCTCCCTCCCCCCCTCTCTCTCTCTCTCTCTCTCTCTCTCTTTCTCTCCCTCTCTTTCCTTCCCTCTCTTTCTCCCTCTCTCTCTCTCTATCTCTCCCTCTCTCTCTCTCTCCCTCTCTCTCTCTCTCTCCCCTCTTCTCTTCCTCTCCCTTTCTCTCGCTCTCTTCTCTCCCTCTCTCTCTCCTCTTCCTCTCCATCTCCCTCCCCTCTCCCCCTCTCCCCCCTCTCTCTCTCCCTTTCTCCCCTATCCAGTTCATGAAATGGTGGATAATCCATTCGAGACCAAGTCCGACAGCTTCTACTTCGTCGACAACAGGCTGATCATGCACAACAAGGCCGACTATGCCTACAACGGCGGCATAGGGGCAATGTGATCCTACATGTACACCAGTCTTTTTACCTTGTGTGTTCATCATCCCTTCTCATGTGTGAATAGCTGTACAGACGATCATAGGAGCCAGGTGAAAATAGGGTCACCAGTCTATGTCACCATCAATCACTACACATTTGAAATTGTTACCAGTCTACCAATCTCCATGGCAAAATGTTCTCTTTTCTCATGTGTGAATAGCTGTACAGACGATCATAGGAGCCAGGTGAAAATAGGGTCACCAGTCTATGTCACAATCAATCAATACACAGTTGAATTTGTTACCAATCTACCAGTCTTCATAATAGTTGTTCTTGCTTCTCATTTGTGAATAGCTGTACAGATGAACAGAGCTATATGAAGAATTGGCCACCAGTCTCTTCACAGTTGAAATGAAATTAGGTACCAGATTTTCCTTACATACAATGTGTATCTAATTTGTATTTTGTATATAAGATTATGAAGAGAATCAATGAAATTATATATTACCTTAAAATTCACTGTATTCACCCCCTCCCACCAGAAAAAGCAAATGTACCTCATCTGGGAAAGAGAGAAGAGATTTACATCCCTCTAAATCACCTTATCAATATCCAGTAACAGTATAAGCCCACTCTGAGACATGATTATAGACCAGTCTGTATTAAGGCTTTCATTGGACTTTGTATAGTGTTGTAGATAAATAAGGTTGCTCTATTTGATCTCAAATGATATACATTTTTCCTGGCAAAGAAAATTTTCAGTGACCGATTTTGAAAGTGATAATTCCAGTTGTGATATTTTGTTCTGCGGCACATAAATGGTTAATTTTTCTCCTCCTTTAGCCCCTTTTTTTGCTTGATTACATTCCATGTGCTGACTGTATTTAACTTTTGCTAGGAGCATGGGAAAATGTCCTGTGGTCATTTTCCTCAGTACATAGCGTTTTGTTCTTGGTGGATTTATGATGGGATAGACTGATTGGACAGTACACCAGTCTCTCAACAAGATATTTATCATTTCTCATGCGTGTATAACCATCAGTTCAGGCAGGGGAGCTTCTGAGAAGACATTGTCAACCAGTCTTCAGAATGGTGTATGTCATGTTTCTTTGAACAGTACAAGCATAGTGCTGAACAGCTTCTAGACGTAAAACACGCACACACCAACTTCATTGTCCATGGGTTTTAATTATCAACATCTAATTGCAAAATTTGGGAAAAGGCGTTGTTCTTAATTTACCTCATGATTTACTCAAATCTTGAAGAAAAAAAGAAAACTAAAAAGAAAAATAATTCTTAGACTGAGGTGAGCAAGAAATTGTGTCCTGTATTTTCATCATGGCTCCATCGTTGATCATCAAAAGAATAGAACAGAATATATTTTCATGATTGTAATGTACTATTGACAAGTAGAAAGAATGGAGGATTATGGGAAGGTTAGTTTTACAGTACTGTTTTGATAGACAAATCGTCCATAGTTTCTCTCTCTTTTACCAGTATTTGTTATTTCCACAGGTTTGTAGTATTTTTTTTTAAATTAAAGAATTGGACATAATTGATTCTGGAAGTGTGTATAAAATTTGCTTTTTTCCCCCTCTCTCCTGGAAATTCACTGATATTCTTTTGTAAATACAGATATTATCGTAGGAGGGATGGGAGATTTGTTTAGTAGGTTTGTTTTAGCAGAGTTATATCTATTTAGAGAATTGTTTTTATTCCAGCGTAATTTCATCGTAATCATTCCTAAATGACCAAGGGGTACTATTATTCTATGAGCTGGACTATTATATGCATGATGGGGCTTTTTTGAATTTCTTCCATGAAACAGAAAAACAAAACTTATCAACACACTTTACTGCCAAGTTAGTTACTGGGTATTACAAAAATAAATATTGAACTACATATAAAGTCAAATCTACTTTAAGATGCTTTTCTATTAGATACATGGATGACTGTTAATTTCATGTTGATTGCACCTTCAATGAATTTCATTGTTTACGCCACCCTATCTGCCAAATAAACTATAGGAGAAGGACTGTGATCATACCTTTTAAAACTGTATTTAAAAAAATGAAAAGGTATGATCATCTGATCTTTTCAATTGAATGTGTACATAGGAGATTATACATATGATTCATTTTTTATCACCTATTTAAAGACACCATTACATGTTTCATTAGACGTGTTATGTGTAATCTTGTGTGCGAAGATGATTGCAACATGCGTATGGTGTAGGTGAGATGTAGTCTAGTTTTCTTCTGTGTGTGGTGCATCTTTAAACGGCCTCGTTTCTCTCTTTAGATGGTATTTTTGTGCATTTATGGCACTCATTTGGGATGAAATCATTTAGAGTTCAATTTAGAATGGAACTTGGGACAAGTTTTTGTAGTGAAGGGAGCCTTATAGGATAATATTCATTGCCCCTTATCTGATATTGGATCAAGTCTAGGAAAGGCACAAGAAAAACATGCCACAATTTTCTATTTTTCAAGATTTAAGAAAACTTTTGATGAAATATTTGATAGACCGGTTCACTTATGTTTTCAATTTTTTTTTTTTTTTAAATATAAAACCTGCCATGAAATATTGCAGTTATCTGTTACAATTTATAAAACTGCAAGTTGCATACACTAGCTTTTGCTGTGTCGGGCAAGCTTCTGGCAAACTTTAGGGTCGCCAGTAGTGATATTTATAGTAGAGGTATCTATAGATTTTCAATACAAATGTGATTTTGATAATTGTTCAATATTTCAACAACAACAAAAAAGATCTTAATCTTAATTTCTATTGTCTAGATACCCTGGGTAGAGAAAGGGCAGTTTACTAAAAATGCACTATGGAGAAAACTAATGATATATTGGGCTGTTCACCATCACAAAATATTTCTAGTCTTTGAAGATGTACATTGGGTTGTTTAGTAGTACATGTGTGTATCATTATTATTTATATTCAAATTACAAAGAAAAAAAAATCTATTTGTGTGATGCCATATCATAGTTAAATTCAAATATAGTATTGTCTTGTCTAAAAGCTGTTGCTAACTTGTCTTTCATATTCATGTACGAAAGAAAGGAGAAGAAGGAGAAGGGAATAGAAGGTAGAGAAATCAATGTTTTATACCGTCCACTGTATCGTCGTCCTATGTAGTACTATGATAAACATTTATTTACCATGGATTTCCATTCGTTTGTTTGTTTGTTTTATAATTGAAGCTAGTACGGTTGTGTAATTCGTGCATTGTTTTATTGTGAAGAGGATTTGCAGCATTGACCACAGAATGCTTGAGCGCCTTATCATCAAGTTAGATCGGCTATAAAGCCAGGGTAATCGTACGATTGCAGGGCCCTCGGGGGGGGGGGGGGTGGGGGGGAACAGTACTAATACTGATGAGGCTTTCCGTGGTAAAGAAGACATATTATTATTATTTATTATTATATCATGAAATAGCAAAATATCGAAAGTTAACTGATTTCCTTTTTTTTCATTACAACCATTCCATCTCTAGATTGTTTTTTCTCTCTTCCCTACCCGATTTAGGATTAAGGTAATCGAACATATATAGCTAGAAAGAAGAAGGCAAGAAAACTAAAACAGAAATGAAGGAAAAGACGGGAAAGAATTAGGGATAGTAGAACATCAAGCACAAACAGAAAATATCGAAAACAGAAAGGAGAGGTTGCATCATTTTCTCAATATCATTTGGAGAGCTTTGAATGTATGCTATTTCAAAAATAGACATACAACTCCAAAGTTTATCATTCTGTGGTCAATGTTGTATTTTCCATCAAAATTGTTTCTTGTTGTTTTGTATTCATGTATTTTATTCCTATATTCTATGTGTACTAACGTGTCATTGTGTATCTCATTTAAGTTGAAGAAACAGGGAACAGAAAAGCTGTACTAAGTCATCAGGATTATTGGACAACCGTAGTAAGCAAGTACAGAGTATAGAGTATAGTACTAAAAAACCAGAAACCATCGCATGCATTCAAATTTCTTGCATGGTCCAGACGTGTGCAATTCATGCGTTATTCTCAGCGTTATTCAATTCTTTTCTAAACCTGTCTCTGTTCATTGCACGTGTATTCCTTTAAATGTATTCCTATAATTCTTGTATTCCTTGCTATGTCTTCATGAAGGTCTTGAGAGGGTATATTTGTAAGAGACCAAATAAAACTATCGTGGATGAGAAAGCAGATTATTGTATTGTCATTGGTTACAGACGTTGTTGGATTCAGGAGATAAGATTTCCATGTAAGCGCAGACTTATTTACTTAAATTGCAAACGTTGTGACAACTTTTCATCCATTTTCAGAACTGTAAGTCACTGTAAGATTCCTTGTTTTGATTTAGTAAAGTACTTCATTAGGACAAAATGCATTGATGTTTGTGAGAGCTACTTTAGCATGAGCTTATCATGAGTGTCAATCTGACAATTCTGTATTGTATTCTGATAAATCTTGTCTTTTTTCTCCAATATAGTCTGAAATTTGCCATATTTTCAATTCCTTTAAAGCAAGCTTTGAATAGCGTAGTGATTCGTTATAGGATCGATAAACGATGTGGTATTTTTTAGCACAAATGTTAAGTGATGTGTGGTGTCAGGTTTGGAGTAAGCAATAGGCATCGGTGTTAAAGTAAAACCAACATATTCTCAACACGGAGTGGTGTTTATCCCGTAGCATGTGTTTGCATAGTCCTAGAAAATTGTACTCTTTGAAAACACACAAATACAGTTTGAAGGCCCTTCTTGATTCTTTAACACCAATACCTTATCGCTGTTAGCACCAAACTTACACTGCCTCATTTAATGAGATTTAATAGCAATCTAGTTAAGTGTTTAAGTGGTGTTTGCACTGCAATGTATGTTCACCTTGTTTGTATGCATAAGACATTTTTACAGGCTGTCTTCGCTATTGCCGTTACAGCCATGTATTGTCGATGGCAACCACGCCTTTCTTAATTGCACACAGCCGACAATATAAATGTATATATGTAACACACAAACCTTGCTGCTTTTTATTTTAGTGATTTGCCTATGTACTAACAAAACTATAAAAAGCTAATTCAAGTGCCTAAACCAGATGCTTTATGTAATCATTACGGTAGTCTATTATTTTCTCGTTGCAGACCTGTTTTTTCTTCATTCATGTGTGTAAAAAGGGCAAAATATGAACCATCTTGTGAAAAATCTGTTGTTAATAGTTACCAGTCCCATAGCACAAGATAAATACCATTTAAAAATTTGTAATGAAGATAGATACAATAATATACCTTTAATATGTGACCTAGCTAACAATGGAAATGAGTGAGATGACGGAGCTAATAATTATATTATAATTATTTATTAATAATAATTAACGGCTACACAACACAGTACATACCAGTAATAGCCTCAAGAAAGCACCATTGACATTGCCAGTAGTTTTATTTACAAATCAATGTTGCTCTACTTTTGTGCAGACACCATTTCGATTTCCAGGAAAGTTTGTGTAATATGAAATTAAATTTGTGAATGATGTCTATGCTACATGTACTGATTTTCTTTAGAATAGAGAATTTGTGTGAGCTTTGTGTATTCGTTAATGAACAGTACCACACAATCACAGTGTATTCTAGGTTGGAAATAGATGGACATACCAGAGAAATGAAATTTAGAATTGATAAAATGAATGTAGTTCTGCTTTTAAAATAATCTACTTATTGAGTTTTTTTTAAATCACCTTGATGAGCATATGTGTGCATTAATATTTTCCTGCATGTTTACAACTAATTGTGAATTATTTTGAAAATTATAGTGAAATGTTTGAACGATAGAGAATGGCTTGGTGATGGTATATGCAATAGGTTACCGTACTTGAATGGATGACACCGATTTCAGTCTTTTACGGGAGTGGAAAATTAGAGTGAAATTTTGCAAAAGTTGCAACATTATAAACTGTTTGCAAGGACCCCACATACATACATGTCTTCACAAAAACTTGCAGTGGTGATAAGTATCAACTTGCATTTCTGTGTGGTATCTATTCCACTAACATTTTTGTGATTGAAGGTTTTTTAGGTTTAACCAATGTTGAAGTCGGCTTTTAATATCTCACATTATTAGACCGTTCACGTATGCACAAAACCTTGCAGTGATGAAAAGTAAATGCAAATCCGCCATTCAGCAAGTTGTATCTCATTTCAGAATTTTTGTGGTAAGGGGTTATCGAGTCACAATAAAATATCTATGAGTTAGCGCTCGTGTGGTCTAATTCAAGCGTTTTTATCCTAAATTTTCTGTTTCTGTACAGGAGGAATTGATGAAAATGAAATGGCTCAATCTCCATTCAATATGTTTTCTTCACAATGTTATAACACAATGTGCTGCATGTTGATTGTGTTTTCTATGAACTATGTACCACTAGTCTTGATTCAGACCATGTAGAAAAGAAGAAATAATTCTGCACACTTCGATTAGAGACTAACCAAATAAATTTTACTTGTTTTGTGTGGATAAAAAAGATGTAACATTGTAATTAAATCAAATTGTGACTATTTTTGCCTACTTTTTTTCTTTCTTTTTAGTGTTGGATAGTAATCTGTTGTTGATTTTCATAAATGTGATTTTTTAACGGACATAAGATATTCGATGTAACATATTTCATTGAAGGATAATAAAGGTTCTTCTTATGTCATGCTATAACATTGTTATTCTTATTCATGTTTGTGTAAGTCGCAACTACAGTCTATACATTGTTTTTCATTCTTTCTCATCAGACTTTCTTTTCGAAAGTGTTTAGTATCAAGTGGATATGAGAGGTAGATGAAGAGGGTGAGAGAGAACAAAAAAGGCAAGAGAGGAAGTGAAAGAGAGAGAGAGAGAGAGAAATGGAAAGAGTGAATAAATTCATGACACACCTTCGAACGATGATTCTATACCGGTAGTCGGTATCCAAAACTAAACAATTATTGCCCAGCTTTATCATGGCTGCCATTAAGGCGCTCTAGCATTTTAAGGAATCAATTCCTGCCAGGTACCCATTTACCCCACCTGGGTCGAGTGTGGCATATGTAGATTAGTGTCTTGCCAAAGGACATTAGCAGAGCTGCCAACCAATACGATTTAATCATATTTTGTACGATTTTCCTCAATAAAATGTGATTTTCCAAAACAAAAAAAATGCCCATATCCTACAAGTATCTCACATTGCCAATTCTGGGATGTTTATTGGTTTATCGAACACACCAGTCACAATGAAATTGTGCATATTCAACCAATGATCCATAAACAAAATTTCTTCCTGTATGAAGAAACTATAAGAGGCATTGATCCTTTTTTTTAAACACAATTTTTGTCAGTAAAAGAATATGGTTTTTGAACTCGAGAGGTTGGTAGGTCTGCATTAATGCTTCAATAGGATTTGAACCCTGCATGTACCTTGTGGTTCACAATCCAGAGACTTATCCACTAGACCGCACCCCTCTACCCGAACCAAACATTAATCTCAATTGGACCCTGACTCTTGATGAATTATATCTTGAAGCAATTGCGGCCCGAGCACCAAGAGAACGTGAAAGATAAAAGGAAAGGGTAGAAAATATGTACAAGTAATTAAGAGAACATGACACAAATGGAATTATGAATTGACAAATTCAAATAAGGTTTAAGTAGTGACCACATTTCCTTTTATTATTGCACAAATTAGTATTCAATATTAAAACATATATAAATAATAACTTAACTTTGTATTAATACTGCAAGAAAATTTTGCTATTCATGTAATAAGTGATTGTGAAGAGCAAATGCACACAATACGAGACCCTTTGATCTCAACATACACTTACATGTAATTCAGGTACGACTGAATTAGCTCTAACCATTACTATACCTTAGAGCACTACTAAAGCTCCAAAATTCTACTTTTGCATTGTGTTGAGAAATTCACGATCATTTACGTGATCATACATGCTCGATTTGGGGAACTGTTGGGGCTTTCAGATTACAGAGGATGTCAGGGAACATAGTTTTAAAGCTAAAGAGGGAAAAGAAATAAGAAGCTCTCTCCGGGCTATGCAGTTTCAAAATAGCCCGGGCTATATAGGGTTAAGTGGGGTCTAAGGAAACCCAAGTTGTACCTACTAATGTCGTTTTGACAATGGAAGCACTTTCAGTAACAAATAAATTAACATTTATTAGCTAAGAAATATGAAATACATGTACATGATAATCTCAAACATATAATTATATTCCTAATGAAACTTAAATCAAGTTTATATTTTCCCTACTTTGATCATTAACAGTGAGGATTAGTAAATTGATTGTTATTTCTGGAGTGCAACTTGAGATTTTGGTAACCGTAAAATATAACTTACATGTTGTACATTAATCTGTATTTTTCCTTTTGATTCCAGTGCAGTTAGTTCACCAAATATACAACCTTAAGAATACTATGCATCAAATATCATTATCTTATAATACTTAACAATTCACTTACAAATATCATTAAAAAAACTATTCACTAAAATTGGGGTTAAGTACATTTGCTCTAATTCGTCCTTGTTTTCACTAAGAGACGGTAGTGAGGAAAATCGTAACGCAAAGTGAATGCAATTTTTTTTCACTACCGTCACTTCGTGAAAACAGCGACGAATTTATAGATTTTAAGGAGCTATGCGGTTGGGGGATTCAGTTATTATTTTTTTGGGGGTCATTATGCAACCTACTTCAGCAAATAAAAATGAAATTGAAAAAAATATCCAGAAAGATTTTAATACAATTCCTATGTTTTTACATTTTACATGTACCATATTATACGGTAGACATTACAAATGAGAACATTTACAAATGCATGTAGAAAATGAGACATATGAAGGGTTGATGCAAAATATTATAATCTCTACATCAACCCTAACTTTTCAGCAGACTTCACGAACTGACATCATACTGAACAAAACTCTTGATTCTTTTGTTAGTAGTTCTGTGGTACTTTAAAGTTGCTCATGCATGGGTATATAGAGGGCAGCACACGGACGGACGTACGCACAGGAGCGTAATACCTGTTGGCTCAGTGTTTAATATGTAGTGATCGCCAAGTTGCCTACTTCATGAACGTCTATATACCCATGCATGAACATCTTTAACAAACTGCATCATCCATTTACGAAAGATATCTCTATATCTTCCTCTACTTCAATACTCTTCTTTCAATCTTTCTGGCAGACATATCTCCTCCACCTTATATTTTCCCGTCACATATCCCAAGACATGTGATGCTTGTTAGTAAGCAACCAGACGGCCGATGGCTTTAGGTCCTCTCTGAGGGACCTGGTAATGGGATTAATGCCTTACCAAAGAACACTAGCGCATGGACTTTGTTTCGAACCCGGTCACCAGATTACAAGACCACTGATCTACCGACTGAGCTATCACGCCTCCTGTGATATCACAGGAAAGCTTCTCTAAGGAGCTGCTGATAGGGATCATCATTTCAGGGTTCAAGACTGCCCCATGTCTACCTGAGATCTTGTTCATCAGATTCCTGCTCAAATTCTATTTCAGGGGGGGGGGGGGGTTATTGGTGACAAATGACAGTTTTTGTTATGAGCAACTGAAATCCCTGCTTCTGATTGGTTATCAGCAGATTTGTCACTGATTTTTGTGATTTGGTCATTGAAAAAAGGCTTTGTGAAATGGGCACCTGGTCTCTTCCACACATTTAGCCTCTAAAGCATCATTACACATGGCCTCTGACATGGGTACAAACAACTATTGACAAATTGAGGGGCGTTTGATACCTTTCCTTACAGGTTCTGTCCGGACAACATCTAAAGCTCCTAGACATTCTAATCTAAGCAAGCCTTACATAGTTTGCTACATGAGTACACTTTAATGGCTGAAGGGGTTAGGGCATCAGATATCTCATCCAAAATGCTTCCTTCCACACATCGTCAAAAGCTTTTATGACTCTAGAATCTGTAGAATCCATGTGATGTCAGCTTCAAGAGAACAACTGCTGGGGGGCGTTTCTCAAAAATCCAAAGTTAAACTTTTCTCTATTAAGTTGGACTTAAAAATTATGGAAAGCCGTTGGCATCTATGAAAATATTTTTTCAAAGTTATTTTAAAAGGCATAAAATGTTGATTCAAATCATTCATATTTTTTATTATGAAGGAGATTTCATGTTCTTGGTGAGGAATTTATAAATTGTCTAAAATACTTATTTTAAGGCTACAAATGGCTCTCCATAATATTTAAGTCCAACTTAGATTTAAGTTTGACCTGGGATCTTTGTAAAACACCCCACTGGTGTAAGGGGCAAGGGCACTTGATACGTAAATTGTATCTGCTAAGATTTTGTCCATACATCACACACACAATTCTAGACATCCTGCAGCATCATCACATGGTCTTGTTTCATGGGTGAAATATCTTTCCTTGGGAAGATTCCCTCCATACGTGACCAAGGTCTTGACAGTTTAAAGAATCCTTACGCTGTCGGCTGCATGTGAGCAACTGCAGGTTGAAGGGACAAGGGGCATTTGATACCTCTCCTGGTGACAGTAGTTCAACACATCTTCAACAGTGCTAGATGTTCTACATGAGTCCTTACACATACAGCTTCATGGGTATGAATAGCCATTGAAGGGACAGGGATACTCGGTCCTCACAGGTTCCTTCCCTACATCATCTGATGATCTAGATACAACTCTTGAGACATTCTACGGAAGCCTTACACTGTCAGCTTCATGTGTACAACTACTGGTTGAAAGGGTAAGGGCATACATCTAGACACTGTATAAACTCCTTTTTGCTGTTGGTGTAATGGGTACAACAACCTGCCGAAAGAATGAAGGCTTTTGATACCTTCAATCCATCACCTGCAGTTCTAGACATTTTATAAAATCCTTAAACTGTTGCCATCATTTGAATGTGCAAAGGTATTTGGTACCCATCCACACGGATCCTTTCACGCATCATCTATAGAGCTCTAGACATTCTACAAAATCCTTATGCTATTGGTTTCATGGGTACAACGACCGGCTGAAGGGGCAAGGGCAAGTCCTTGTTGTCCTCCTGAGTGATATCATCGTCCAGTCTCGGAACCTTGAACCTCTTGACCACCAGAGGCTTACTGGTGAGTACCTCCTGGACCCTGTCCACCACGCCGTCCCTCCAGGCGGTCAGCTCCTTCTGCAGGTCCAGGGCGTTCTCCATCAGGCTGTCCTGTCGGATGCGAAGGTCCTCCAGGGCTGAGAGGTTGGCGTACATCATGCGCAGGCCCTCGCAGATGGGTTCCGTGTTGCGCTCGCTGCCCGGTGGCACGGCACGGCCAGACATGTAGTCGTCGTACTCCTCTTGGGTAAGGGAGAGCGACTGGGCATCAAGGTTCTCGATGAAAGATATAGCGCAGCACTGGAGGAAAAGAAGGTGAAAGAAAAAAGTTGTTGAAGAATATATGAGAGATCCAATAGTGATGCATTTTACATGGGAAGTGAAACATTAGCGGTTTTACCAATAATCATTAAAGTTTATTAAGTCATAAACAATGTCAAACTGCTAAAATTAGAAGGGCTATAGAGTAAAAATGAGGATATACCACAATTGTCTAATTTCAATTAAGATTACCATCTTCTGATATTTTTAAAATGTAAGGTCATGAGTAGTAAAAAATCTTACTTTCTGTTATCCTCAACATCAAAATCAAAGTATCCTTTACTTTATGTATCATCATAGTAATATCTTTCATCACACAACATCCCACTATCAATCATGAAGTAGGTATCCATTTGATCAGCGCTATCATTATACCACCACCACCACTACCACCACCACCACTACCACCACCATCACCACCACCATCAAAACAACCGCTCCTCACCAGATTAGTGAAGTAGTAGCCTGTTTCTCCCTGCATCAGTCTGTTGGGATTGGCAAACCTGGAGACGTACTGGATGTTGGAGTGCAGCTGCGGAGGGTTGGCCTTGAGGACCATGTAGATCAGGACCGGTAGATAGTCGTCAGCGCTAGCCGGTGCACCCTGGGACTGGTGAACCATCTGGAAGATAAGCTTGCTGGTCCGTACGATGCAGCACAGCTTGTCGATCGGCGCCCTCTTGCTGTTCATGTCGATCAGCTCTGTAGGGCAATCATTTGAATAGAGTTGATGAAACAAATCCATTTTAAAGGCATCGTTTAACAATGTTAACACAATCTTTTCTGGGATCAAACTTCTCAACGGTGGGATCATGGAATATTATACGACAAGCAACCTGTATGGATAGCGCAAGTGGCGCATATTCATGAAAGTTTCTGTGCTATGAAATCGATGAATTAACTCTGAAATTGTGTAATTCACAAAATTCTCTAGCTGCAGAAAAAAAAAGCCATCATTTAGTGCCATGTCACAAACGTTGAAGCTTTCATTATATAGATACAGTCAAACCTGCTTTAGTGACCACCTGTATAGAAAGACCATCTGTCTACAGAGATATTTTTTTTTTCCCTAGAAAATGGTTTCTCGTTGAAACATGTACTAATAGAACCTGTAGATAAGGACCACCTGCCTATAAAGACCATTTTTCTTGTCTCCCTGAAGTGGTCTTTATAGACAGGTTTCACTGTATATTGACTGCTATGAGAGGCATTACTGTTTTTATAGGCTCAAGGGGACGTTACATCCTGCTATGACCCTAGACGCACCAGGGCATTATAACCCCATGAAACCCACCTTCCTGAGCCTTCTCTATCAGCCTCTCCACATTCGTATTATCCTCGTTGAGGGCAGCATCCAGCATGGAGGGCATGACCCAGCGCAGACGACGGATCCGGTTCTGGATGGCCAGGTCCTTCTGTTCATCGTCGGACAGCGGAGGGCAGAAGAGGTCGCGGTAGAGCCGCGTCATGATGACCTTCTCAAGGTGGTCCATCATGGTGGAACACTGCTCCGAGGTCGTACCTGAGAAAAAGATTTAAAAATTGTAGCAGGTTGAAAATTGAAATTCTGTTTGTGAGGTTTTACTTTGAAGTCAAATTATCTTGCTTTGGGATTGTATGCATTGAAGGTTGTACCTGAGAAAAAGACAAAAATTGGCGGAGGTTGAAAATCTGTTTGTGAGGTTTACTTTGAAGTCAGGTTATCTTGCTTTGGGATTGTATGCATTAGATGCAACCTATTCATAGAAGTAAAATCATTTAATGATGGCTCTTTTTTCTTTTGTAGAGGCTATATTTAAGACTACATGGTGGAACACTGCTTGGAGGTCGTACCTGAGAAAAAGACAAACAAATTGGAGCAGGTTGAAAATTGAAATTCTGCTTGTGAGGGTTTACTTTGAAGACAAATTATCTTGCTTTGAGATTGTATGCATTAGATTCAACCCATTACCAGAAGTAACATCATTTAATGATGGCTCTTTTTCATTTATAGAGGGTATTTTTAAGATTTAAGACTTCAAAGACTCAAACTGATTTGCTGCAGTAAACTGCTGTTTCTTTTCCCGACGCATGTGTAATACACTTCAACTCTCTGTATGCTTTAACTTAGAGCCCAGTGAATATGCAGAGAACCTTTATTGCGCACATATTGGCATTAATTTCACACATTATACAAAAATGCTGTGGTTTACGCATACATTACAGAATGAGTCTCAATGGGGGGAGGGGGGGGGGGAGCACAATATCTCATCTATCTTTAATATTCACTGAATGTGATATTATCAAATGCATTGAAAATTATCAATAGACTGAAATTTGAAAAAAGGTTATAAAGTACTATTCAACTATTTTTGGATGTGATGAAATACTGATTACATTAAAGGTAATACAAAGTTTTGGTATGGGGTCATATTGGAAGCACATATGCGATCGTACAATATTCAGTGATCGTTGTCGCGGTCGAAATCAAGTCTAAAGTTATTAAATTGTAAATAATTAACTCTATAGCTCCCTCTCAAGGTCAAGATATTAATTAAGCTATAAAACAATGTTTCTTGACTAAAATTGACCAACTAGCTATTCCCGTTTCCTATTTCCTATTTCCCGTTTGTAAAATATAAATCACAACTACACATTCTGAGATTTTGATTATGGCAGCTACCATTGTGCGGCCGTAAGCGCTATTTGAAATTTATCAAAATTTACCGGGAGCACCGGTAAATTTTTGTATTCAACTTTTCTTGAAAGCAGAAGTGTTTTAGGGGCTAAATTTTCTAGTGCTTATAATACATCCACAGGGGGCATCCAAATATATCAAAATTGTAAAGAATCACTATCCACCCAATTTTCAAAATTTTCCAAAACTTTGTATTGCTTTTAACAGTGATTGGTACATCAAGATAACTAAGAAAATTAAGCACTTGAAGACATTTTTTTTTGGTAAAGATGTGTCCCTGTAGAGAAATGGGTACATTTTAACAACATCAAACACATAAAACACATTCGGAATCACACAAATACCAAGTTAAAGTTTCTCTTTTAAAGGGACTATGTCCCATTTGCAGGCCAAAAAAATTAAAAAGTTAAATTCCAACTGCATTTGAAAGATAATACTAATTTAGAACTTCCTTAAAAAAGGAGGGGCTTGAAAATGTCTTCAAGTGGGAAAATAACGACTATTAGTTGTCAAATCAACTTTAGGGCTATAGAGCCCAAAAGTAATAGTCTTGATTTTCAGACAATTGTACCGAATGGTCATACGTTTTATGCTGCGCAAAGATTCAATCAGTTTAATCCTGGCCATCACAAGAAGTGGGTTGTTGATGTAGACAAATACTCATGTACCCTTTACAACTCTTTTCATGTATGTTACTACCAAAGAAGAAAAAACTCAATAGTGTCTGACAGTGAAGTCTAGCAAACAAACGGTTTTCCTTGCATAATTTAAATATTTGGACACTGCTCACGTTTAAATTTCACAGATAGGACATACATGACATATTCATAATTCCTGCAAAGTTCTACAGCATTTGAAGTTGGCTGCAAAAGGGACATAGTACCTTTAACACTTTAAACAATATCTTTAAAAGTATGCAACTTTTCAATGCTTTCAAAATCAGTTTAAGATAATTCAACCACTTTCATTTTTTAATCAGAATAGTTGAGAAGTATCTTTAAACATATAAAGAGAAAGGAAAGGGCCTCTTGTATAATGCATACTTCCTTCAAAAGATAATTATCTTTGAGGAAAACAGAACAAAGTATTATATTCAAGAAGAAAAATATTAGTAACATTGAAATTCTCAAGTAGTATTGAAGTGGAAATATAGTTTTGAAAAGGGTATTGTACACGGGGTGAAGTAGAATACCGGTAAGGAAATAAAAATTTAATTTCCCCACAGGTCTATGGTGACAATAATCATGATGGCATGTTTTCATATATATAACACATTTATATGTACAGTCTGCATTGCAATGTTGTCGTAGCTAAGAATTCTAGTATGATGTATGATTAATTACTGCCATCTTTGAAACAACATGAATTTGAATAAAAATAATCACTGATACTCTTTGCATATATGTCAGGTGGACTACCATTGCACTGATACATGTATAATGCTACTATATTATTGTAGCTCAGATCACAGAAGATTGTTACATCAGCTAAAAAATATGATCAGGTCTCAATGATTCTTGAAATGTATTGTATGCTATGATAGAAATAACTATCACATTTTCAAAGATTTACCGGTAGTTAATGTTCTTTTTTTTAAATTTCTACCCATACGTAGTATATGTAACTTTTGTCTCAAATACCACACTACTAGACTGACTCCACACCATTAAACACTAAACGCACCAATTCTTGGCTGTTAAAGAGAAGGTTGAGTTCTGGGAAGAGGTGAAAAATAATTTGTGAGCATTACTCATTCTTATTATGCAAGTGTGGAAGAACATCAGTTAAGACATGTTCCCTGAAAAGCATGGCTCTTCAAATGCCTTCATATTCTAAATATGCATGTAACATCGTAAAAATCAGGGGGGGGGCAGCTTTTTACGCCACATGTTTGTGTAGTCCCATACACATCTTTCTGTGTAAGTGTTTGTAACTTTACCAAGACTTGGCCAAATTTCTTATCATTTTGATGATTCCAGAACCTTGCAATACACACAAATTCTTATATGCTACATGTAGATGATCAACCTTTTCTGGTCGGTTCCACACCACAGAACTCAACTTCATCTTTAAAGGGAATGCAATGTTTTATTCCGCCTGTTGTAGGTCCTGTCAGTGATATACAGTGTACGTACATTTTCTTACAAGAATCTAGCAGACATCTACCAACAGAAAAGCACAATCAAATTTATAATGATTTTCAAGCGTTAAAGCTGTCTACAATGTAATTTCTCTTCTTTTTTGCAAAGCCTTGTGAATGATGCTTTTCAATATATATTTTTTTAAAATCTAATTTAATTTTTTATTTTATATAGCTGACATAAAAGGTCGTATTTTGTAGATCTAGTGAAGTCCCACAATTTAATTTTTCTTACCAAGACACTATTAATTCTATTCTCGATCTCTACATTGCTTTTGTCTTGATTATTTGTGGTTTCTTGCATGAATGACACCACAGATATGACACACACTCATCTAGCCTTGTGGACTTGATGCGACTGATCATCATTCAAAGGTGTGTGACACTATAGTGTATGATTCATGGTCATGGGATGATTACTGTGCATATCTATACAGGATGTCTTTGAATAGTGGAGATGTAGACTCAATGATAACACGGAGAGACAAGTGCAAGGTAGTCTATTATCAACATGAAGATGTTTATGAGGAAATGAGGTTAGGGGGGTGGGGGGGGGGGGGGGCGGTCATTCTCCCGAGTGGTACAATTAGTATGTTTTTTTTCAAGGGGGGGGGGGGGGGGTTACCCTCCTTAGTGGTACGATTATTATGTGTTTATTTTAGGGTTTTTTTGTTGGGAAGAGGGGGGGGGGGGGAGGGTAATTCTCCTTAGTGGTAAGGTTATTACCGGTATGTATCTCTTTTAAGGGAAGTCTACATATTCACATTGTCAGGGTTAATCTGTCCTGCCATGCTCAGCCATATCGTCGGCCGGGTGGCAGAAGGGCGTTAGCACGCGAGCGACTCGAAAACTACTTCTTGAATTATTCGCATTTAAAGATTTGTTTTATATTTAAACTGCTTTCCGTCCCGAAAATTGGTTTAAAACAAAAAAGACTAATAGAAATGTTGTAGTAGAACACGGCCACAATTTTTTCTCTCGGAAATAAGTCCGTTTTTATAAAAGTTTGAGGCGATTTAGTGCGAACGCCCTTCTGCTTAAAGTTTCATTATTGACCTGAAATTTGAGCTAACGCCCTTCTGCCAGCCAGGCGACGATATATGGGCACTATTACAGGTCATGATACAGGGGCTGTGCATGCCACAGGCAGAGGAACCATGCACCAGCTATCCCTTTCCGTCAATATGATGCGCTACAAGTAACGACTGCACCTAACTCTGGATGTACGGATATATTCTGGGCCATTCTTTGATAAACAAAAGGGATGTTTTGACAACAATTTCAAGCATATTAATCATATGAAACATACAAATTCAGATGTGCTTTGGGCAAAATTTTGGGTAATCATAAAGTACCAATAGAGTGCTATATTAATCATGGATCATTTGAAGTGAGTCACCATCATGGACACTGACCACATGTACATGTCTTATGGGGCACCACGGAGCTGTTTTGTAAGACTTGAAGTATGACTATTAGTCACCTACTCCTTCCCCAAGTGAAAACTTACTTGATATGACCACCGCTATTAAATAATGCTTTGGGAATTTAGGAATTGCTATAATGCAGGTGAGAATGAGGAACAAAAAAACCACGCCCCCTTTGAGTAAAAAAAAAAAAAGGGAATCTAACAACATCCTCCCCCCCCCCTTCTTTTGAGTATGAATATTTGGGGAAAATAGGTGAACATTTTTGGAAAATAAGGGGAAATAAGGGGAAATAGGGAAAAATAGGGGGAAATAGGGAAAAATAGGGGGAAATAGGGAAAAATAGGGGGAAATAGGGAAAAATAGGGAAAAATAGGAGGAAATAGAGAAAAATAGAGAAAATCAAGGAAAAATCAGAAAAATCAGGAAAATCTGGATAAAATCATGAAGGAAAAAAAAAAATTAGGGGAAAAAAAAAATTGGGAAAAAATAAAAACATGAGGTAATTATCAGGCCTGTATAATGACTGCAATATAATCTTGTGTATATATGTTATACTTGTCAAAGTTGGTAAGCTAGGGAATGTCAAAATAACAAGTTTTTGAAAAGACGGAATCACCTTTAGTGTCAAATTTAATATTGTTGAAACATGTAACTTACCATAACTTCACCCACACAAAACAAATAATCATGATAATGATGATGATCCGTGGTGATGATGATGATGATAATGATCACGAAACATGATATAATTCACTTTTTGGCATAATGTCTAATAAATGTCAATTTCAGTGTGTTCCTTTTCACTTTAATATCACAAGATAAAGGTCAAGTACATTAGAAAGATTAAAAGAAAACACAAAACAAAACAAAACAAAAACCCTAAACTATAAACCTTTATACTTGTCCAAGATGGCCACTTTCAAGTAGACCATTTTTGCAAATCGCAAAAGTTCACAATTGTAATTCACTCATTTTGGCAGAATAAAATTTAGCAAATTTATTTATTTGGACCTCTTGCATATTTGATCATCACATATAAATATGTATAACAATGCACACAATTTTTCTGGTTTTACAATATATCTATGGTCATTGGATCAAAATAGTTGTATGAGCAGCTTTATTATTGTGATAGATAAGGTGAATGATATATAAAAAACTTAAATTTAAACAAAACAATGCTTGGAATGAATGTGTTAATAAAAAGGTAGAGGACATATTGGCCTATAAAAACTAGCACGATTCTCACAAAATGCATATTAAAGATTAATGATCATAACTTAAGGGAAAGAGGTTAGAATAGTGTAGAAGAAGACATGCCAAAATGCGCAGACTAGAAAGTTGTAAGAGATTCCTTTACAACTCCGTGCATGGACACAACTAATGCAATGACCTTTGACCTTTCACCTTGGTCTGGTGCTTCTTGAAAATCAGAGGGAAATCTACTTGTTTCTGAGAACTCGGAGATGCCTAGATATCAATAAAGACAACAACAAAATAATAAAATGGATGGTAACTTGAACCAAAATGGGTACCAAACTAAAATAAAATGAACACATGAGGGTGCTTCCATGCGATGCTTCCCATATGACAAATGTGTGTCTTTTATCCATGTATTTAATTTAAAAAATGAAAAATTTCTTGATATGGCCATTTGAGAATGATGCTTTCTGGCATCACTGCATTTTCATTGTCGTATCAAGAGGTTTTTAATTCATTAATGAAAAACATAGTGATCAATGCCATTTGTTTTATGGGAATAAATTGCATGGAAAGCCCATGAAACAGAGGCAAAAATAAAAATAATTCTTCAGGTAAAATCTACAGAGGATGAACGTTTTTCATGAGCATGCTTTTCTCTTTTTTTCTTCAACTTGAGATTTTTGAAAAATCAAAACATACGATTTGAGTCACTTTTGTCAGACCCACCCATTGTTTGACGGAAATGGATTGCTTCGTGGCGAAGGAATTCTGCAACAAAATTGAGACAGGAATCAATCGATGATTACATGTATTCTAACAGGTCCATCAGGGCTTGGAAATTCAGGCAACGTCACATAAATCACTTATTTCAATGGGTTTAGCATTAAACATATTTCCTGTTTCTTTTTCTCCTTGAACGTTGTCAAAAACTCTAAGTATTAAAGATAACGATGGAACTATGTGTCTCATTAATGTGAAGTGATGTTCAGTCCTTACCTGCAGTGTGTATTGATACTTCCCTTTGTAACATTTTGTAGGAATTTGACAGGGCACAAACGTGATGTTGAAACTGTTCAATGAATTATGGCAACACTGAAAGATTTATAAATAGAGTAGGTATATGACGATTTTTGTTGACCGTGGAAATCGGAATTCGACCACAACTCTAAACCCTAGATGTACTCTGAGAGAGTTTGTTTGTCATCACATCAGAAGTCAAGATTACATTCAGAACATTCCTTTTGCAACGACAGTCATCATTACATCATCACCAGTATTCTCCATGTTGATGCCAGAGAATTGTGTTGTCGCCATGCAAGGCTCTCACAATGCTATGATCAGCACAGCAACTATTTCTATCACTACACATATCAAATCAAATCTTTGCACTTGTCTATGTACAACCAACTGAATTGTCTGGAATACGATGCTCAAGCATTACATAACATTACAGAAACAAACAACAACAACAATAACAAAGAAGAAAGTAAAGCAGCAAAATAAAAAGATGAATCTAATGAGAGAAAGAAATTCGTTTTCATTAACATGTAATCTAACATAGAGACAATGCCTCCAGGGGGATGTTTCACAAAGACTAAGCTCGAGTTTAAGTTGGACTTAACTATGGCAGGCCATTCATGCAACTGTTTGCTCTCACCATTTACTGGCATTGGTCTCCCAACGGACGTACAAATCATGGTCACAAATCTACAGATTTACATTTTTTGACGATTCATTATTGAAGGAAAAAGTACAGTCTAAAGATCATAATGGTGAGAGCAACCAGTGGCATGAATAGCCTGCCATAGTTAAGTCCAAATCTAAGTCGATCTTGGCCTTTGTTAAACACCCCTCCCCCCTGGTTTTCAGCAGACATTGTATTTCATTGGTTAGTTTAATATAAGGAAGGAGTTACCTTTGAAGGCACTGTGGGTGCTCATCCTATCCCCCATGCTGTGGTAGAAGTCCTGGACCAGCTCTGCTTGCTCTTCCACCGACAGATTGGAATCCCTCTGCAGTCTCTCAACGAACGCCCTGCACTGCTTGTTGAGATCCTGGGCAGCGGGTCTGTTGAGTATCTTGAGGAACTCCATGAAGTCGCCCATGGCGCGCTGGCTTTCCATGCTGATTTGCTTCTCGAGCCGCGCATGGGGAGCTTGAGCGGCGCCCTCTGCTGTTGTGAATGAAATCAGTAAAGCCGAAGGTGATATGGTGAAATCTCTATTACACGCAGCTTAGAAAATAATTTAAAGCCCCACTGCACTACTTATAGCTACTTGCGCCCTCTATACAGCCAACAATGCCTAATCGGTACCCGTTGCCCCCCCCATGATGCCCTTTTTCATATGTTAATTAAGAGCTGGTTTGATAACATAACCACCTGCCAGTTATCTCGCAGGGAGCTCTAATCCCTCCATGCCTAACTAGTGCAGAGGGGCTTTAAGATAAAAATACAATACAAATCAAAGTTACAAGTGTGGAACTAGGCATATTTACTATGAAATTTGACAAGCTTTCAACATGACTACATGTAGTTTGTACGGCTGCAAATTCTTTTTTTCTTCTGGTTCAAATGTATTTAAGTTGTTAATAACTAATCTGACTTGTCCATAAGAACTGGTAGGTATAATGCAAATTAACCTGAACTTGCACTCTAGAATTCACCCTGAATAATTCACCTTGAAAAATCTGATCTACACTGTATATGATGACCTCAAATCGGTTTCAGATCTCTCTCTCAATTTTGCATTTCACTACAAAACTTGTTAACCTTGGTCATTTACATTATATTGCACACCTTGACCTAAGCAAATATACACAAGCATCAGTAAATTCAAGAGTACAGGCAGATATCCTCCATGCAAACATGTGTACCATTAAAAAACCCTGACCATAAGGGATTAAAGAAAAGAAAATTCACGGCTAAACTTAACTACCGTATTTGCCGGCTTAAAGGCCGCACCGCCGTATAGGCCGCACCCCTAACTTTGACATTTCGTAGAGGAAAAAAAAAACTACAACAAAAAAACAAAACAAAAAAGAGAAAAAAAAAACGGACCAAACAAAATGATCGTAATTTTCTTGTAGAACACTTTTTTTTTTTACAAACTATACCAAATTCATCAATATTCTTATAAATCAACAAGTTAACCTCAAAAATGATCATAATTTAGCAGATCTTCATCGACTTTTAAGCTAGTACTGTATCGTACGCAGATTTGGTATCCTACAATACCCCTTCCTCGATGTGCGGTGTAATCCGAAATAGCATTTTTCGACCTGCGCAGTTGCGTTGCGCGGCAGCTAGCTCCGTAAGTAACGGCCTGTCCCTTTGTTTACTTTTTGGCGATGCAATGGTATGGACTTAGATCTAGATCTATCGGCAGATTTTATTAGAAAAATAAGTTTTTTCGTCTTCATGTCAACTATGCAACATAAACTTGTCGGTAAGTTGTGTGGAGTTATTCTAGAATTGTCCTGTACCGTTGTCTAGTCATGCTACCGTTCCTATAGTCCCATACGTGCAAATGGAAGTGATGTTTTGACCGCTGAATTTTGTTGTTGTTGCGTATACGCCGCACCCCGACTTTTTGATTTTTTCTCACCCGAAAATACTGCGGCCTTTACGCCGGAAAATACGGTATTACAATTTTAACATGAAATACCATTCTTTCCTGTCACAGTCCAAACCTGACAAAAATTGTGAAAAAATGGCTATATGCTAATAAAACTTAGACTAGCTTGCCAAAAATAATATTCCTTGATAATGATAAGAAGTGTGTCTCCTTAAAATCTACACTTTCCTTGATGTGATACAAAAAAAGGGTTATTTTGGTGAAATTCTTGTTTCTGCATGATATGGGGGATACTTTGAAATTAAGTCATATATTATGTCAAATCTAAGAAAGCAAACCCCAAGTGTTACGCTTGCCCAATTTAGACAAACAATTACTTAGATTAGCAAATGTGCACTTGTAAAAATGACGCCTGGCTGGAATGCTCCCCAGGGAGTGGAGAATGTGCATACATTGTGTGCAGGGTAAGCCTGAATCCGATAACCGGGGTAATAATATGATTGCAGGGCCCTCAGGGAGAACAGTATGAATACTGATGAAGCTACCCTGGGTAAATAAGACATATTATTATTATTATTATTATACCTCTGCTTGGTGTCTTGCCACCCTTCGAGAAGAGAGTCTTCATGGACTTTGTTTTGCTGTTCTGCCTCTGCTTCCGTTTCTCTTCAAACTTGTCAAAGGTCAGCGTCTCGTTCTGACCCCCCTGGGTGGGGGCACCTCCCGGGGACACCACCCCTTGCTGGCCTGCTGGGGATGGGGGCTGCTCAGGTTTGGGAGATCGAGGGGGGAACGTGAGGGCCATGTGGGTGGGGTCGTTGGAGGCTTGTTGGTCCGGGGTGATCGCCAGGGTAGAGGGGGGCCCTGACTGCTGCATTTCACTCTCGTAGAGCCTATGAAACAGACATTCATTCACAATTATTAGTGTTCATTATTTTTACAAGAAAAATAATGGTAGAAAAGAAGATGGAACTTTGGTTCTACAACACATGCTCCAGGGACAATTGTCCCATGGTCACTTTTCTAAGTCTTAACTTCAAATCTAAACCAAGCGCTCTACCTGTCCCTAATCCTGAACCTAACCTATTCCCGAAATCAACACTAACACAGACCCTATATCTCTGATAAAATAAAGCCCAGAGGCCAGGGCAAATGCCAGGATACCAGAATTTGACAATAAATTTTACCAAAAATTTCAATGGACATGTGATTTATTTAGGAATCATACAGTGTGAATAGAACATATATATATTATACATGTAAATGAGAACTTGTTTTTTCTAAATTCTTGATATTTGCCATAAAAAAAGAAAAATAAATCAAACTTTAAAGACCCTAGAGCAATCGGAAAAGTGAAAATCTTGAACGAAAATCAAAGAGTTTGGTAAGTTCAAATTCAAACCACTGAACATTCATGGTTCAAGTTAGAAATACAGTCAAACCTGTCTACAGCAACCGCCCAAGGGAAACACAAAAAGTGGTCTTTGTAGACAGGTTCCTTTAGTACATTTTCATGGAAAACAAAAAATGTGCTAGTTGTAGACAGGTGGTCTTTGTAGACAGGTGGTGACTCAAGCAGGTTTGACTTTATCAGGTGTTGCTTTTAAATAGCCAGTTTTACTTAGTTAATAATCTAGATGTATGTACCTCTTGGCAAAGAGTGCATCACTCTCGATCTGAGCTTGTCGACTGACTTGGCATTCCCCCCGCCAGCATGTGGAGCAGTAGCCCTGCCAGGCAACGGTGCCATAGAACCCACAGCCTTTCTTGCAGAGTAGCTCAGCCTCGTCAATGTGAAAGCCCTTCTTCTTCCTCGTAGTAGTAGGGGCGGCCATCTTGCTTGTAGGTTGATTTTATACAGGTTTAAGGACTGGATCTCTGAAAGTAAACAGTTTAAATAACACTTCTTCATTTATGTACCCAAGTATATTACATAGCCAATGGCCTATCATACAAATAATATTTATCACTGAGAGCTTTCATTAGTAAGAATATTCTACATGCTAAAAATCTTGCACCACGATTGGTTTAAATGTGGTCACATGACAAATCAAATGTCAGTTTGCATATCATGAAGGTCATAGTTATATACTATCACACATGTGATCAGTAGGGCACTGGTCCGAGAATGAGGATCGTCGGTGCATGTTCAGAAATGTATCCAAAATTTGACCCGCAACTCCAACGTGGAGATACCCTACTAAAACATACCCAAAATGAATGAAATATTCATTAAATGACCAAATAAAGATCACAAGTTAAAAGTTGTTAGTTTATTACCTGTTTCGTGTCAATTTTCTTGTTATTTTAGGAGTATTTTTCGGATAAAGATTGATATTAGTATAAACTTTTCACAGGTTTCTCGGCAAACCGCTGCACAATACAGTACATTACAATGGTAGGTTGCTTGCAGGCGCGCGCCTGTGTGAAGTTATCTACTGTTATGTCTCACCCATTATGGTACAGCGCTCAAAATACACGGGGGCGGTGGGCGATTCGCCCCCCTGAGCTACATAATCGCCCCCGTCAGGTTGCTCACGGGGGCGATTGCAAAATTAAAAATCGCCCCCGTGGAATTATAAAATAAAGATTATCTTTTTTGTTATAACTTTAACACAATATTGAGTTTTAATTTTTAAACCTTAAACCAATGAAATGGAACTTAGATTAGCGTGCAAGATTTCTTGTTTTATGAGTAGGCCTAGTTATTACCGATTTAGCTCGCAGTGCAAACACTGCAAAAAAAACAAAAAAAAAAGGTTTTTTAATAAAAGGATCATGTGACAAATAATCATTGTGATTTAAATTGATGCAAGGATTTTTTTTTGAATAAGCAATGCTTTTTACCAGAATCTTTTTTGTAAAAACGACTTTTACAAATCTCAGCCATGCAAATCTGCCACTGTGTTGTAAGATCACTTTCAGATTAGGAGAAGTGTATTCTTTAATGAGTATTTTACATTGAATGGAACGTCTCAACTCAGTAAGCAGCATGGCTGAGATTTGTAAAAGTTGTTTTTACAAAGAAGATTCGGGTGAATAGCAGTGCTTATTCAAACAAATATTCGCATCAATTTGAATCACAATCATTATTTGTCGCTTAATCCCTTTTAATGACCTTGTTTTCTTTCTCGTTTGCAAGGGGAGAAGAAGATATGTCACGTTAAAGACTTCATAAAGATCAGTGTTGTATGCGTATATATTATATACACAGGCCAGTAACAGCTATGTAGCTTGTAAATTTGTAAGAGGGAAAATGCTGATTGAAATGATAATGATGAAATAGCAAATAATTGAGGAGTATCATAGGTACCAATTCAATGGATTCTTGTATACAAAAAGAGCCCCCGTCAGTATTAAAAGAGCCCCCGTGAGAAGGCTCACGGGGGCTCTTTTTTGGGGGGAAGAGCCCCCGTGGACAAAAAATTAATTTGAGCCCTGTTATGGTAGATAACTTCACACGGGTGTGCACCCGCCCGCAATCCACCATCAATATGCACTTGTATTGTGCAGCGCTTTGCCGTGAAACTTGAGAAAAAGTGTATAGACACACCGAAGTAACAGGTCAAATTTTGGATACATTTCTGAACAAGCGCCGGATCGTCCACATTAACGAGGATAACCTTGTTAACGCGTACAAATTGCGGCCTACAAAATAAGGATTGTTCCCATTATTGCCATCGTCACTCTGCAGGTTTCGGGTCCACGTGCTGGCAATTCAAGAAACGGATTCTGCTTAACAAAATACCCCCAGTTGACCATCTACTTTGATGGGTTGTCCGTCTTCCCGAGGATTTATCGCTCATAAAGTGCAAGTCTCTGTAAAAATTAGTCGGAGACGCCAAGTTCAAAGATCAGCTACGGGCGACATTTTCATGACTCGGCGCGTGCCAGGGTATAACGTACAGGTAGCGTTTTTTGGAAATGAGAGCGTGAGCATTTTCAGACCCTTGAAATGCGCAACACTTGGTAGCTCTGCAAAGTCAATGTGACATGCATCAAGAAAATCATTGCGGAATCCGTTTTTTACATCGCCAACGTGCAGATCGGAAATCATAATCGTCAGCGAAAAAGAGGTCTAGACCCTATCCTTATTTTTGCTGACGCGTCTGTCCATGTTTACGCGGACGATCCTTATTCTCAGACCAGCGCCCCTTCTGTACATGTACTAACGTCAAATGTGCAACAAGGTATAGACTACAAGTTAACTACAAAGCAGCTCGCTACTCGCATCTAGTACTACTGACACTGTATTGGTGACTTTTGCATTTATTCATCTTTTCCATGGAAAGTATTGTCGATGTGGGACATCAAGCAGATAATCACTTCTTTTATCATGTTCATTAGATTTAGACCTACTTTATCTGTTTAATAACTATCAATTAATTATTCAAATTTAAATGACAATGCATTCAGCATTCAGCAATGCATTCAGCATTGTCACTGAAATTTGGTGAATGGTGAATGAAAAATGAAAATTTGAAATTATGAATTGAAATTTGATTGATTTCAATCAATCATGTGATTTGTTAAGAATAAGAGTCTACATGAAAAAATTGATCAGGACAGGTAGTCTTTCTTTGAATAAAATGAAGTTTAAAACAACTCACCTTTTGAAGAATGGAAATCTATTAAGTTGTGGCTGCAAGGGTAAGAAAATAAAACAGAAGAGATCGAGCCGCCCAGCTCAGCTCAGTCAGCCGGTCTAGTCTGCGTCGACGTCTTGTCTGTTGATAAACCGTATCACTGCACTGAACTGCACTACTAGCACTGTACCGCGCATGCGAAATGCAATGCAGTAGTGGACGTATAATGGGCGGATTCGTCAATATGTGTCACCTGATATTCTGGTCAGCTGACTGTGTTTGGTAAAGTTCATCAACAAAACTAAAGTCTAGATTTATTAAAGTTTATAGGAAAGCGCTGGGCTGCTGCCACACAATTGAGGCTTGGCCTTGGCAAATTCACCTTGGCCCTTCAACCAGGCAAAAAAGCGATGTTGATATTTACTTGGATGGCAATTGCTTTCATTTGGGATCTTTTGGGAATTCCCAGGGTTCGGTATGTACATGTACATGTATCACGTTCATTAATGCCAAGCCCAATCAGTCAGTATAACTGAATACTGTACACAAATGAAATGTGAGACGTACCATACGGTCACGGTTCTGAGCTGGTCCAATATAGCAATAACAAATCGCTTGAGGTCTAAAAATAGTAATAAGGAAATAAATAATGAACAGAAACTAATTAAGTTCTGTGTGATTATAGATTAGGGTAAGTTAAATTGAATTCATTCTTTGTTATTAATTCAAGTTGGGAGTGGTCTCTGTACATGGTCAGGAGCTAGAGCTTTGACTTGAATTTGAGATTCTATGACGAGGTGTTGATCTGTCAAAACCAAGAATGGGTAGTGTTTTTGGTGTGAAACTAGAGTGAGTGTTCTACATTTTTTGCAGACTCTGTCTTATCTGGTTACTATATTGTATATTGTTTTTGTGTTAATTGCTTTTTATATGCCAATGTTCCCTCTTTTAAAAATCATTTCAATTAACATCTGTTAGATTTTTCTTGTCTATGTTCTGACAGTGACACATACATGTATGTCATGATCTGACTGAGCTTGATTTGCAATATCATTTGATTTTGATTTTGATGAAGGCAAAGTACATGTAAGTCAATGTGAAAACCATTTTTATTAGAAATGCAAGCCTTGCGGTAAAGATAAACTGGATATCTGTCTAGTAAAAATTACTTTCACTGGAACGTGGATGGAGAAATACAAGTCTGTACCCCATGTATCCTGGCTGTACAGCAGTATAGAGGCGCATGGCCGATATAGGAGACTTTCTTCTATTTGGGATACCAATTTTTATTTACATTTGAACATATAAATTACATGTTTTAGAAATACTTTTCCTTTTCAATTAAGATTTTTTCAAGTCATCAGACTAGACCATATTCTTATTTTGTTTAACTTTTATTACAGAAGTACAGAAGAGAAGGAAATAATGGCAACGGAAGACCAAGTCATCATGGAACCGTCCCTGGACTTTCCTTTCCTGAATGATACCAAGACAGTTGAGTACGTGGGAGAGTCGAAGACACTGCTCTTACTTCGTGGCCCACCAGGGAGTGGTAAATCGTCCCTGGCTACAGCGATCTCCGAGAAGTATCCTTTGAAAGTCGCCATCTGCTCTGCTGAGGAACACATTCCTCAAGGCGAAAAGCCTCCTTTCTCTAGGGAGATGCTCAAGAAGGCCCACACTGACTGCCAGCAGTGTGTCAAGGACGCCTGCAAGGAAGCCTATCCCATTGTCATTGTGGACAACACAAATGCCTCACTCTTGTCAGTGAAAAATTACAGTGGCATTGGACACGAGTTCGACTATGTGGACGTTCTCGTAGTGCCCCAGACAAGTTGGATTCTTGATGCTCAAGAGTTGGTCAAGAGGTCGTCCAGAGGTTTCCCTCTTGAGGATATCCAGAGGAAACTTGAGAAGTTCCAGGAACCAATATACCCTCTCTTTTATGGCTGGTTTGTCAACAAAACCGATTCAGAGACTATGAGGGGTACTGGGGAAACATTTTATGAGAGGTGTCTAAGCAAGAGGGAGTTCAGAGAAGAGTTTACAAAGCATCTGCTACCAGATGCTAGTGGCAAAACACCAGGTATAGTAAGCAAATAATTACTGTTGGTGAAGGTGATGGGACAAACTATCACTTCCGAGGCGATCTGGATGTAGCTATCTTTCCGAAGCAAAGCTGAGGAAAGATAGCGTATATATTCTGATCGACGAGGAAGTGATAGTTTGCCATCGCGTGAAAACCAAAAGGTGATTATTTGCTTTTCCACATCTAAAACAATTTAATATCAAAAAGAAAAGGACGTGTATGCATCTACATAAAAGACACCTAGGCCCAAATTCACACCAAAAAGTTTAAGTTTAATCCAATCCCTTGAGGGTAAGGTGCGCGCATGTGTTTTCTTTAATTGTGCTCATTGGTAATGCGCGCTTAATTACGCCTGTTTTAGTGCGCGTTTGGATAATCTTCAGTGAAAGTGCATTGCCCTTTGTAGATAGTACCTCTATCTTCGATGAAAGTGCATTGCACTGTGTAGATAGTAGTACTATCTACACAGTGTAACAAACTTTTTGCTTCTCCCGTCAATAATGGGCGAACTATCTTTTCTCACGTGATTTACTTTACATCCAATCGTAGAGCAAGATTCTTAGTATGTGGGATATAAAATCACCTATTATGCAGGGCTCGACAATGACAAGGGTCTCATACATGTATATATTTATGGATCCCCAATTTTGACCCAAAATTTTCCCCATGACCCTCAAAATCCCAAACTGTTTCAGACATGCCTGAGGCACTCAGACCCACAGTATTTTATTCTGGATCCCCAGAAAAGAAGTATGGAGTACTGTTTTCTAGGACCTCCATTTGTTGATGATTCTAGTTTCCAGTTGTTTTGTTTCTGGATCTGCATGTCACTCTCTTGTTTCGGTTTTAGTTATAACAAAATTGTAGAGAATTATACATGGAGGGCCTTTAACATGTCTGTGTTTTTTTTCTTCAGGCTAATTAGGTATAACCAACCGCTATATCCCTAATTTGTGATTGTCTGTATTTATTTATCCTTTCGTTCTTTGATAGCTTCATAACTAGCCTCATACAAGTAAAGAAAGTTTTACATTTTTTAGGAAATTTGCTAATGTTAGTGTGCTTATCATGAAGCGTACATGAGCCTGATTGCTGACAAACACTTACCAATTTTAGGAGATGGATAAATACTTAAACTATCATTTGTACGCATTTAACTTTTCCAACATGATTGTCTTCATCACATAACCTACACTTGATACATCATTAAATTTCATGTATTTGTCCACAATTTTCTTTAACCTATAGATCCAGAGAATTACTTCTCAACTGAGAACTACACCGTTGGTCCTGTGATGCTTCACTGCACAGCCTTCTACAGCAACTACGGCGAGGTCAGCCAATCAGAGGCCTACGCTACCCAAGAACGGGTCAAAGCAGACAACGGCAAAGCGTTCACCATCAAGGTCATCGGTCTTCTGGTGACCCCACGATCCCTAGGTCTGCGACTAAAACTTGACGATGAAGAGCTCCTCCTGTGGCCACAGGATGAGGTTAACGAGGTTGCCGAGGGCGGAGCAGAGGAAACATGTGATCTGGCTGCGGGGGAGAAGTCTGGGCCGTGTGACGATGAGTGCATCATAACCCATCTGTCTCCAACCTGTGGGACAGGGAGCCGCGCCCACTTCAGTTTGGGTAGCGGTCCCGGTGTGGAAGCTGTCCAGACCGGTCTAGACCTGGAAGAGATCATCAAGATGGAACAAGAAGCGGTTCGGATGAAGAGGAGCCACATTGTAATAGCATTAGAGGATGCCACAGCCGTCGGGTATGGGGAGGGAAACTGGATGGTGTACTTTGATGAAGCTTGTTCAACTGAAGCTCTTTTTGCAGGATATTTCTAAATATGTAATCATTGTTAATCGTGACAAACACAATTCTTCATTTCAAAACATTTTCAATACATGTATATGTACAGTGATTATTTGTAGGTGCATGTGACACCAAAAGATGAGTAAATATCAAAATTTTGCTTTTGATTGTGTTCTAACCTTCCAAATACAGATTTGATAAAATTGCTACAAAATGATGCTAATTCAGGCCATTTATAATAACTTCTTTTTTCTTCTCAAGGTCTTTTCAAAAATCAAAATTATGGTATACAAATGATGGCCAAACAAAGTTGTACAATATTAGCAGCAATTTTTGTTCATATCAATCAGAAATACAAGCTGTTTATTGATTGTCAGTTGTGTTAATGTATGAATATATTACATCACAGCTACTTCAACAAAAACCATGCATTTAGTTGACTTTATACAGCCTTGGTCATATTGTTTTGCTGAAGTTTTAGAAATATATTTACTTATTTGTAGCATTTAACATGTACATGTACATAATAGTGTAGAATGAGAATATGGTAATCCCTACCTGTTCTTGGAAAGCTTCTAGATGGAAGGATCATGCATGAATTTAGCTGACAAACAGGATTCTTCTTTCTTAGAAGTTCTAATTTACTGTTTTTAATAACATTCATCTTCAACCATGTTCATATACTGTACTAAGAAATGTCTGTATCTTTGAGTTATTCACCATCAAGAATATTACCATTGCAGTAGGTGTTAAAAGATGTCATCTACTAATTTTAGGTAAAAGAATATCAGTTTCATCATAATGTACTTTCTGCTTTTCTTGTAGATAAGCATGTATTATAAAGTCTACCTTTATAAACATCATGACACTAGTGAGAATGTTTGTACAAATATATGTTTTATTTTTTAAAAGAAAGAGCTTCAAAAGCCTGAGAAAATATTACGTTTAGCTTCAAAAGCACAATTATTTATTCTAAATGTATGAAAATGCTGCTTCTAAGTTTCAACCAAATGTAATGGTTACAACTGTTATTTGCTTTGTTGTTGTTACTCTTGAATTGTAAGTATTTCATAACTTCAGTGAAAATAGCTTGAATTAAGCAAAGGAAATGCACTGATAACATATAGTTTTGTATAGGTTGGTCTCTTCTTTGCATCATTCATTCTGACACATACCGGTACATGTATTTAAGTTTACCAGATATTTTCATCGAGACATTTTGGAGAACTAAAAAGTTAGCCTGTATGCTATATGTCCTAAGTATGTGTGATGTCTTTAATAGTGTGGTAGGAAATCTGATTTCCCCACTCCAAAATATTTAAAGCCATACTCTCCTAAAAGCAGTCACCCAAAATCCCCTCTAGCATCATCTCAGGTCAGCTGTAGCGTGATGGTCCCATTACTCGCTTCTTCCCTAGCCACACTGTTGGTTCTCGCATCCAGCTAGCTGTGTCTGCGAATTAAGTGGGAATTAGGTATTGGGGCGTGCACTGTTGGCAAGTTGACCATGAGATGGCGCTGTGCAATAAACTACGCTCGGGCAGAGAGTTCTTCAGTTCATCGTTTTAAAGGTTTGACAATGTTACCTTCTATCTGATATTTCAAGATACGGTATTCCAATGTAAGTTGCCAATGCTTGTATGTACCTTGAAGCATTTGTGGACATGATCTCCCACAAACAGCTTCAATGTGTTGCCCTATGATGAGCTTAATTATAACAGATCTATCTTCTAAACTTGATAACAAGTTGATTTTAGTGTAGTAGGAAGAGATTTGTAATAGTTTGAAGAATATAGGACAGATAATAAAAATGTCCCGGGCCCCCCACTGTTTTTTAGGGTACGCGTAGGCTATGCATGTTCCCTCCTTTTGAAAACATCCCCCTAAGTCCGGTGTGTAAAGTCAATACGGGCCGGATTTTTGTGTACTACGTACGAGCCGGGGTTTGGTGCGTGAAAAGTACCCCTTTACCGGACACTTTGGGAACACGCATGCGGTCCCTCCGACCCCGGAGTGGAGGGGCCGGGAAAAATGTAACACATTTTGGAAAGCCAAGACCTACACTAAAAAATCCTTTGATGACTTTTGTATAATTTTCAACAATTTTAGTATTTTTAGTGCACATACTCAGAAAATTAGCTTCACTTAGCCTGATTGACATCTAAAAATGTAACATGCAGATACGGTATAGGACTGGAAATGTTGTAAGTAATGATTTTGTATATATGAAAGTATTTGAATTGTATTTTATGGGCTAGCTTACAAAATGATTGATCTTGTTTTTAAAGATTATCACCCTATACCGGTATATATAATGACTGGTTGCATTTTTTTCTTAAGAAAATTTGTGAGCACATGAATGTAATTCATGGTACATCTACTTTTGTTTTCCTTGCCATTCTATTAATGCTACATAAAAAAAAAAAAAAAAAAAAATCAGAACCAAAAATGAAAGAGTATTATTCACAGACGACGACTTAGTAGTTCCAACTTCTGTGGATGTTTGTCTTTGTGTGTGAATCTCGAAAAAATGAGTGCAGTGTTTGTAACTGGTTGTGGTTGTGGTAATTTATCTGAAATTATTTTTTTACAGCTGGAATATGGTTTTCCATGCTGATTCACTTCAATTAAAACTTTCTGTGAGAGAGTGTGTGGGGATGTATTATATATGTATGCAGGGGCGTACGCAGGGGGGGGGGGGGGTTCAAACCCCCCCTTTGGAATTTTTATGTGTGTAAACCCCCCTAAAAAAAACTAAAACCCCCCCCTTTGTGTTTTTTTTTTAATTAAAAAAAAAAAAAAAAAAAAAAATTATGCCCACGGCTAACGTTAAGTGACCTTACCTCCCCCCCCCCCCAAGAAAAAAAATGTCAAATTTTCAAATTTCGAGACCAAAAAAAAAAAAAAAGTGTCCGCTTACCCCCCCCCCCCCCCCCCCCCCCCCCCCACTGAGCGACTTTTCTGCCGGCGCGATTTTCAAATTTTCGGGAGCAAAAAATTTTGGGCCAGATTTTAAAACCCCCCCTTTGAAAAAATCCTGCGTACGCCCCTGTATGTATGTGAGGAAAAATTAATCTACAATTTATCACATGATACCCAAGAGAGAAATGGAGACCCCATAGGATGACTAAAGCATTTGTTTTAGTAATTTCCTATGCCCTCACGATGACCATATGGTAGGAATACTCCCCAGGGGGTGGAGATGGTGAACATTGTGCGTGAATAAATCTGATGACCGGATCTAGTAATAATATCTGTAAAGCGCTTAGAGAAGGTATTCCGTATTAAGCGCTATATAAATCCAGATAATTTGATCATTGAATCATTGCCTTCTAGAAAGATGTACAATTAAAAATTATTTCTATTTCCATTCTTTATTTTAGAGCTATTTTATGAAGGAAAGTGAGGACTTCTGTTTGTTTATTTTCTAATTTGATTTATTTAATGTTTTTTAATTTTATATATATATATATATATATATATATATATATATATATTTTTTTTTTTTTTTTTTTGGGGGGGTGCCCCAAGCCCCCTAAAACTGCTCCTCGGGGGAGTCCACCCTGGTATCGAGTTAGTTATAACAAAAGCAGAAAAAATAGTAAAGTTTGTGGAAAGATTTTTACCAAGGATCTGTAAGTAATGTATTGATTTTTAATCTACACGCTACAGATATTTGCTACTATATTTTCCTAGCAAACAACTCTTATTTTGTTCTCTATTGTATTTTCCTCGGTTAAGCTTAAATTATTGATCTGTTTCACTTTTTGATCTTTTTTCTCCCGAATGGACTTCTTCTGAAAACTTCCCAAGTCTTTTAACTATTGGAAATAATAGATTTCCTAACCTCCTTGACTTTTGGAAGGCCTGCACACAATTTGGATTACAGGTGGGCCTATAGATTCAATAAAAAGTCAAGTCAAGAGGTAAGTTGAATTGAATGAATAAAGAGAAGATTACAAAACTATTATCCATATTTTGTTTATCATCAACATCATCAACAACTCACTAATTTGCATACAGCCTATGTGATACATATCACCGTTCCATGAAATTATGCAAAGCTTAAAAATTATGTAACTTTCTTATTCTTTCTTCAATTTTGATGAAACTTTCGCCAATTTATTTGTTTAAATTTTCTCTTATATTTTCAATTCAACTTGTAAAAAATAAATGATTTTACATGGAAGTGACAACAAAAAATCATAACAAATTAATTATTGAATGAAGAAATCGTGCTGGGGTCAGCTTATGAGCAAGTTGAAAAAATTCAGATCATGCTTATAACAAATATTCATTAATTCTTCACTGGACCTATACTTTTATTTGGGCCCCACCAGGAACAGAGATAGGTGCATCCATCCTATACCCCAATACCCCTCCCCCTCCCCAGATGATCTGCAAATTATTGTTTTAAGGCCTAGATAAACCCAAAATACAACACATTGAGAATATAGACCAAAATCTGAAATATTACATATTTGTCTCTATTTTGTGTGCATGTTGCAATTTGTTTCTCTCAAGTCTCCAAATGTAAACTTCCTATTTCCCAATCAAAAATGTAGTTGCAATTCAGTTGGTAGAGGAATTAAATTAATACACAGGGTTGTATATTATGATAATAAAGCACAATTGAAATTTAAAAACTAATACGAAGGATTGTGTAACCTGTATCTAGTAGAAAGTGAACCCTCAAAACAAATGAATTGGAACATAGCTAATGAAACCCTGCATTAACAAAACAAAACGCCTTTCATTACGTCTAGATCTAGCGATTAAATGCCAAATATCCAGAAGTAAACATGGCGGTTGCCAGTGAGCTGCAGTGGGTCCCTGAAACCCTTTACAATGCCGCTATTTCTGCCGTTGTTTCTACTTATTCAAGACACAGAAAAGAGCTGAGACCTTTACCTGAGAATATACAGTTCGACATTTATTACAAAGTAAGTTTTTAGTCGTAAAATTTCGCCTCAAACTTTGTTTATTTCGCAGCTGTTCAGAAGAGGTTTGAGCTGAGCTTGTTGAATGATGGAGCTGAAATCGTATGTGCAGTAGGCCTATCAGGTCGACCTGCCTCGATCGTAGAGAGCAATGATGAATGAGTAATATTGGCAATCAGGCAATGTTAATGAAGCAATTGTTTTGGTGACGTGCTCTATTTTGATGTTGTCTCTCAGGGCGTGTGTATGCATGGTTCATTACCTTGCTTGCCTATGTTATAAGTTATGACACTGGGAAAAGAGAATGTCCATCATCACTGCATCAGTACTAGAGTCTAACTTAGACCGAATTTTTCTGTCTCTTTCGTTCGTAATTAGCCTCTGATTTGGGTAAGGTCGGCTCTCTCTTTAGAGACAGAACAGCCCTATAATATGCTGTAGTGGACGCGCGTTTGTGTAAAGAAACGTTACACAAAACTTGGCCAAACTTACTCCCTAATTTTGATATTTTACCGAATGCGTATCCGATGCATTTAAAGTCCTAAATTAGTTAAATGCTTAACTACTTCGGTTCCACTTACCAACTTGACTACTTGAATCCATTTAATGGTCCCTTTTCAGGAAATTATGGGTCAAGATCGACATCCATGAAGAAAATCTTGCAGCCGGGTCTCATTCCTTCTAGTCTACGCCGAAGGCAAAATGATTATAACAGAAAAACTTTGGACGAGCTACGAGTTCGTAATGACATGCACAGTTTACTAGTTCCAGCGCTAGTTCACAATCATATCCAGACTGTGAAACCCTACTAAAACATACCAACGATCAACTAAATCTTCATCAATTGTTCAAATAATGGTCATGATTTAAAAGTTATGTTTCTTACCTGCATGTTACGTGTCAATTTTCTTATCTTCTTTGAAGTATTTCGCTTAAAACAAAGACTTATATTATAAAGATCTATACACTTTCTCATGCTGCACATGCAATTGCATGTGCGGGCACGCGTGTGTTAAATTGGCTACCGTAAACTAAGATTACAGTCGCTAACTTTACGGTATGTATTGTGCAGCAGTTTGCCATGAATCCCATGAGAAAGTGTATTAACATATATGAAGACAGTCTCCTTAGATGTAAGGTTAGAAGGTCAAAGGTCACAGAGGTCCATACAGTATGCGAAATTACAGGTTTTTAACTTTTTAGCCTTGCTATCGCAATATCTAAACAGTATTACTGTAGGGAGATGATCCAATTGCATTTTCGGGCTAGTACATGTTGTAGGTCAACATCATAGGCGTCAGTTGACATTTGATTATAGACATTTTGTTTTCATTGTGATATATCATGAATAATTTCATCCATTTCCTATTCTGAATTTAGGATGGAGGCATATATAGGGGACGCAGTGGCATTTATCTTTTTTTTAATACAACCTGTTTTTGTGTACATACTGCACATGTAGAAGAGCATGCCAAAATAATCCTTATGAACTCTCCAATGTAATCCCCCTTTTTTAATCTATTTTATTCTCCATTATTCTGAATTACTTTAGCTGTACAAACAAGGAAGACTATGTCAACTTGGAATGGAGTTTTGCGAACTGGACATCTTTGCAAAGGTCCTACGAGTAAATGACAAAAGGTGAGTCAAAGGTTAAAGGTCAAACGTCAAACGTGAGATGTAATGAGTTGTGAAAAATGTATTATCTACTGTATGAGATAAGCCATTTGCCCATAAATAGAAATTTATAATACAGGGGTATTAGTTCATTTGTTTCAGAACTTTGTAAAAACTATATGTGCTGATAATATAGTTTATTAAATATTCATCTTTCTTCACAGTATATTTTTCACTAAATTTGTGGCCATTAATATGGAAATATGTCTCGGTACATATCGTCCCTTGGCAGGCCGAAGGGTGTTAGCTTGAATTTCAGGTAAAAAAAATGAAGCATTAAGCAGAAGGGCATTAGCACTAAATCGCCTCAAACTTTTAAAAAACAAATATATTAGTCTTTTAAGTTTTAAACCAATTTTCTGGACGGAAAGCAATTTAAATTTAAAACAAATCTTTAAATGCGAATAATTCCAAAAGTAGTTTTTGAGTTGCTCGCGCGCTAACGCCCTTCTGCCAGCCGGCCGACGATATGTTGTACATGCTGTCTACTGTGTAGCAATGTTGTTGTTTAGTATAGAATTATAAACATTGTTTGTTTGTCGTCAGTATTTTTTGTAGACCAGCTACATGTAAGTTAACAGGGAGGCTTCGTTGTCATACAATGTGACTTTACAAATTCAGTCATTTCTATTTAGCTATTTATGTTTTAGCTTAGCGGGCCTAGAAAGGAAGAAAGGAAGAAAAAAGATTGACTAATACCGTCTTCACACCTGATATTTTTTGTGGCTAAGGGTTTTTATCCCTGCAAGTTCCCGGGCTGTCTTCTGTGTTCACACTTGGTTTTTCAAAAGGAGGTTAGCATCGCAAGTTCCCGGGCTTAGCTGGCCCTGCTCCCGAGTAGGGTTAGCGCGGCAATTGTGACGCTAGTGGTGCTAACCTCCCCCATAGACCAGTTCGTAGTTAGCACATGGGTCATATGACCCCAAATATCCCCATATCTTTTAAACATAGATAAATCCAACTTTGTACCTTTTGGAATAATCACAGCAAAAGTCATGGAGTGATTCTTTGTTTGCCCTCTTGAAAAGATTACTTCCACCTGTGTTCAATAGAATGTATCACAGGTGCATGCATGAATAATGATTACATAACTTTCGTGAGCATGTATCCAGTATTAGTCTCAGTGGGTTTTACAATTTTGTTCAAGTGACCTTTATCCGCACATGCTCAGACTGTATCTACGAACTGGTATATTGCTGGGCGCACCTGTCAGGTGTGAAAGCTAATATGAATGAAGGCTAATACTATAGACTGGTTTACTAAAATATTCAAATTTCTTTCCTCAGACCTAGTGACAAGGTATTCCATTAACCTGTTATTAATGAATGAACTGAAATACCTGGAATCCAGTCTGCGTACATTACACGTTGCTGTGTCGGGCACACCTCGGGCAAGCTTATATGTTAAGACACTATGAACATGACTGACAAAGAAAGCGGACAAAATATACAGTTCCTCAGGTAGACAAAGGAACATTCCTTCACTGCTATTATGTAAAAATGTGTAGAACAGGTGTCACATGCATATTCATCTTTTTACATAATAGCAGTGAAGGGATGTTCCTTTGTTTACCTGAGAAACTGTATATTTTGTCCGCTTTCTTTGTCCGTTATATTCATAGTGAGAACAACCTTTATTTTAAATGGTATGCACAAAATTTGAATATGTTAGTAAACTGGTCTATCAAGTAAATTCATCTACATGTAGTGTCCTTGTAGAATAATTTACCCTCCTCTTTGTACTTTTACTTGCAGACACTTACTTCACCACTGTTTCCAAGCCTTGATGGACCATGGTGTCAAGGTGGCTACTGTCCTTGCAGACTCCTACGCTACACATGCATCGATAGAGGAACAGAACCAGGACAGGATCAGTCGGACAGTCCAACTTGGGTTCTCGCTAGGTAGGCACAGAAATCTTGGTTATCCTAGATGAATTTTTACCATTGAACCTTGTGGCTTGTTCAGGTATGCCGCAGTAAACCACTTTCATGACAACGTAGAACGTAATACACTTCACATTTCTGTATCGTATATTTATTATACATAGAGCTCAATGAATATGTGTATGATCTAAGTTGCATGCATTCATTGACACATAAAAAACATGCAGCAGTTTACTGCATTTGATCTGAACAAGCCTTGAGTGGAGTATAATTCTCTAGCCGCTAAGCATGTGGGATTTATTAATGTAAATCCTTAGCAGGCAAGTCAGACAGTGCAAAATTTAACAGGATTCGAGAGTGATTTATCTCCTGATAGCTTAAAAAAAAAATTCTCTTGGAAAACTGAATAGCTCAGTTGAAATTAGTGCTGTAACATCACGGATATCTCCAATTCCGTTTAACCGCCAGTCAAAACCGGACGGTTTTCGGTTAAACGATTTTAAAAAAAAAATAAAAAAAAAAAATTAAAAAATCTTTTTTTTTTTTTATTTATTTTTTAATTTTTTTTTACCGACTCTGTCGGCAGTAAGCCAGGTCCGTGTGAAAAAGCGGGAAGGACTTTTATTTAACTGCGAGGTGCATTTGAAGGCGCCGATTTGTGCTTGTGAACTTGTCATAAATGATAGTAACAATGTCGTTTTTAGAAGAATGTGTAAGATCATTAATGTAAATTAAAAACAGAAGGGTACCTAGGATACAACCTTGTGGTTAAGTTGTGGTACACCATTTGTTATAAAAAAAAATTGAGGAATTATTATTATAAACTACATATTGAGATCTATTACAAAGATTACTTTCAAACCAAGATGACAGACAAATTGGAGTGTTGTTCTAGTGGTGAGTCAACACACAGATTACTGAGCTGGGAGATATTGCCAGGCATAGTGCCAGGTGGAGGGGCATAAATCAAACAAAAAAAACAAAACAAAAAAAAAACGGGAAAACGAAACCGTCCAATTGAAAACGGAATCCGCCATGGGCGGTCGGATACCGGATGGTTAAACATTTGATTACAGCACTAGTTGAAATCAGTGAGAAAATTTCACTGTTACAAATCCTGATGAATTATTTTTGCACTGTTGGTGTGACCAAAATCTTTGCTACCTTACATCTAGGGACACAACAGAATTCCATACTTTGTGAGTTAATTTTGTTGGATACCGTATTCTATCCCAATTAAAGTAAAGCTTGTTTGTGACACAGCCTGCTAGCTTACTAGACAGCAGGCTTACTTGACATTAAAGTTGCTGTCTGACTATCATACTCTTGTAGAGGGTGCCCAAAACCGAAGTCCAATTTTGGAATTTTTACATAGAATTCATGCATACAAATTCTAAAATGTACAATTCAGACCCCCTTCAAAAAAGGGTTAGTGTGAAGCCCTTTCTTATAGCTGGAGCTAAATATTCTAGGTACATGTACATGTAATACCTTGAGTGAGCGGGATGGTTAGACTCTGGCTAATGGAGATGGGGAATATCAAGCTCAGGGGAGGTATAAACTTTTATGTAAGTAAAAATCATAACATATCTAAATTAGGACAAGTAATTGGTCAATTTTTGCCCAACGCTTGCAGCCTACATGTACTTGTATGCGTATGGTTTGGAGAGGAATCTGCCTGAGCACTTGTGTTTGTTCCTCACTATTTGATTTGTTTCACTTACATAGAAGATGACACAGATTTCATTCAGACTATGGCCTGGATTCTTTGATCAAGAATTGCTGATTGAGTATTTTTAGGCTAATCAAGATGCACGTATTGCACATCGAGATGCATCTTTGCACAAAGGATATCTGTTACAAGCAAAACTGTATACCCTCCAAAGAGATAAAACTCTGTTATACTACACTTAAATGTGACTGTGCAGTCATTCATAATATTTTGTCAGTCATCAACGGTATTGCAACATGGCTCAATGTACAGGAAAATATTTTGAGAGATCAGCTTACAAAACTATGGTATTGGAATAATGTTTAGCCATACATTCTCATAACTGTAATGTAATCCCCTCACACCATCTGTGCAGTATTAAATGGCAGGGTATACTCTGGAACATCTGTCTGCCGGATCATAAATCCCTGCAGTGATTGTGCAAAAAATAACGCCCACACTTGGTCATAACAAATGAATGGGAAATATGTTAATGTTCCCTCATGAATAGCAGAAATATGAATGGCATAACAAATATAATTTTTCAATGTATTGTCTTTCCTTATCTGTGCTTCCCCAAATGCCAATTGCCAATGTTGAAAAAAAAAACCTAAGAAACTAACTCTTGTTGAAAGGGCTAATCTACCCCTCTTGTTAGAAAAGGATTTAAAGATTTTTTTGGGGGAGGTGATTAATCTAGAGAAAAAAACTAGCACAGCAAGAAGAGATGTAATGATGGCAGATATTCACATTCTGTTCCCAAAACAAATAGGTTTTATGTTGTACATAAAATGGGTCCTTCTACACTCCGCATTATAAACAGAAGGGAATGAATGTGTATCCTAAAAGGCTAAATAGAAAGAACTGAGTTGACAGACATAGCAGGAAAGGGAGATAAAAATGATACACAGGGAGCAAATGAAAGAGATTTAGAGGGAGAGAAACAAAAGAGTGCTTGCCAACATGTTAGTGGGAGGGATTTTGATCTGTGGGGGCCAAGGGATCATGAACATGATGAAGTCTGTCTGTGTCCGACCCATTTTTATCAGGGATGCCAGTTTTCAGGCAATTGCCTGAATTCAGGCCCTGGCAAGTTATTTTCAGGCCATAGTTCAGGCTATTTTGTGTACAAACTAGCTCATTCCAGGTGATGTTCAGGCCCTTTGATCAATTCTAGCTGGCATCCCTGTTTTATGCGATTGTGTTATTAAACCAGGGAGATGTAACTGACATCTCCCTGATTAAACCACAATGTACAGTATGGGGGAAGTCTTTAATGATGGAAAGAAATAGTGAAAGAGGGCAGGGAGTGGGATTTAAAAGGGGGGAGAGAGAAGAGAGAGAGAGAGAGAGAGAGAGAGAGAGAGAGAGAGAGAAGGGGTTTGGGGGGGGGGGGCAGGAAGAGGGATATTCAAAGGGAGAGAGGGGCAGGGAGGGGCAGGGAGGCCAGGGAGAGGGATATAAAAAAAAAAGAAAATGTGGGGGGGGGGGGGGGGAGAAGGAAGGGGTGGGCTGTAGGGGGAGTAAGAGAAATTGCGATAGATGAAGGAGATGGAGTCTGTCAAACCTTGCCATTGTTTAACCACAATGTGTGGGGGAAGTCTTTAATGATGCGTATAATCCATGGGTTTTTGACTGGCTAGTAGGTTGTAAACAAGAACAGTCCACAGGATAATATTCTGGTACAGGGTATAAGGAATATGAATATAGTGTTTGCAATGGGTTTTTTGGTGGCCAATATAAATATGATAAATCAATGTTAAGTCTACTCACTATTTTTTTGTTTCTGCAGACACAATCTTGCATTTTGGTCAGTTTTCTTTGTAAGCCATCATTTCACCCCTTTTTCACATGGTATTAAAATGGACTATTTCCCTTCCAGGAAAGTAATTTTCATGAGATTGAAATTTTTGTCAAATAAATGCCATTTTTGTCATGTAATATTAATGTTACATTTTTAGCCTGTATGGTGAACATAATATTCCCCTAATATCTTTTCTAACTGATGGACCAGCATTAAGGTGTGATTATACAATATATTAGACTAATTAGAGATACATGTAACTCTTGCATCCTGGTCAATTCACCCTGATTTCACGTGGTGTGAGGATGGACTTCCCCTTTCATTAATTTTTATTAATTGGATGAAAGTTTTTGTCAAATAATTGCCAGTCATGTAATATTATTAATGATGAGTGTTTAGTCTGTATGATGGTCATAATATTCCCCTAGTATCTATCCTAACTTCTTTTAATTAATGAACCAGCCCTAAGGTGTGAATATACATTATCTTGGAGATATTAGTCTTGGTTTCAATCCTCATGCATCTGCAAGTTTGTATGCATGTCTTTTACATGACTATTTCTTTGAAATCTATGTTCTTTCCCCAGATATAAATGTACTTTCCCCTCTTGTATTTAATTGATGCTTAATTGTCCTTGAGAGTGATACAAGTGCTTAGGTTGGCATACAACTTTTTTTTTAATGAGAGTTGTAACCTCATAAATGAAAAACATAACAAATTTGTCACAGATGATTTAATTATCTGGATGATTACATGTATGTCATCATTGTCACGGGGTACTTCCCATCTTAACTCTTATTGGTATTTTTAACAGAATATTTCTACAGATTTGTTGTTTTTGTTGTCTAAAGATCAGTAATAAACAGATACTGTGATCCTACAGATCAGATTATAATGCAGGGCATACATTATTGCGTGCAAGAAGAAAAAAGATTTTGCAAAAAATAGCAAGATTTGAGAATTGGATAGAAGAGAGCTTGATGATTTTTATGGGCATAAAAGAGAAGGAAAGAAGGAAAGATTGTGTACGGCATGGTAAATAATGGCCCCAAGTATTACAGTACATGAAGATCTCCTTGACAAAACATGTTGTATATTTCTATGAAATCTAAATATCTATTATATGAATTATGATAGATGCTCTTTCCCCGGAGATACATGTACTTTCTCTGAATTACGGCATGTACATGTACATTTAGATCTCCCTGACTGAAAATCTTGGAATTGGGGTTATCCAATATCCAGTAGCATACTCAAAATAAATTTGAGTGAAAAGGGAACACTAATCACATTGTAATTTATTACTTGAACTTATTTTGATTGAATTCACTGCCCCCTCCTCCTCCCCCTGTCCTCATTCATTGTACATTCTGTGTTTAAGGAGGTCCTCTGTGTTAGGAGGCCCTCAGATTATTGTATCTAGAAAAAATTAGAGGTGTTATATGATTCCATTTCATATGTCAAAGTTTGTTAGCTTTCAAATGTTTCTGTCTTTATTTGGCTTCATGTAATTAAGATATTATATGTGTAGCTTCTCATTGGTATAACCACACAGACTTTACTTTAAGGCTCTGGGGGGGGGGGGGGGGGGGGGGGGAGGGAGCAACATATCCATGATATTCAATGCCACGGCATAAGTATATGTACTATCATGTAATTGATTTCTTGTCATCTTTCTCTTCATAGGGGGATTTCTCTCCGAGGCAGGCTGGTTCTGTAATGCTGAGAAGGTTTACGAGGCATGCTTGAGACTATGTAAACCAGAGTCAGATCAGCAGAGGGTGATACGAGCATTTGAATGCACAACAAGGTTAGTAACGTGTAATGTGTTTTGTGATATAAATGCAAAGTATTTAGATCTCACAATTCATAAAGGGAACATATGAATGATATATTTAGGATTCTCTGGCAGGGGGCACAAGTCGAAAAGCAACCCCCCCCAAAAAAACAAAAAAACAAACAAAAAAAAACAACACAACAAACAACAAAAAACAACAAACAAACAACAAAACAAACACAAAACAAAACAACAACAACAACAACAAATGATAATAATAAATGATAACAATAAAATATAATAATAATATTGTTAATGAAAATAAATTAAAATAATATGTAAATAAATGTATTGAAGAAAAAAAAATCATGAAGGTCATCTTGATATTATGTATTGGGGGCACAATTAGAAGACCTATTTGTATTCTTCTTCTTCTTCTTTTTTTGTTGGGGAGGTTGGGGCTTGATAAGTATTTGAGGTATGCCATATTGGGTTTTGTCTGTGGACAATTTAGAGTTTCCTCTTCCTTATTGGTCATGTGAAGAAAAAAAATCTTCCTCCAAATTAAGACTAAAAGCAGTATAGTGTGAGAAAGTTACACTTGATAAGAAGAGTACTACTATTTATTTCAATTTATTATAGATCTGCATCAAATAATACTTCAACATGTTGTTCATCTTGCAATACTCAGGTTAATACACGTCCGGAATGCCAATTGCAAGTACAGCCAGGCTGAGGACTCTTACAACTCTGCTCGGAAGCTCCTGGAGGACCTCAAGGAGATGGGTGTGACCGTCAACGAGGCTGCACTTCACGGCGAGATGTGCTCGCTCCTCTTCTCCAAGAGCCACTACGACGAGGCGTACAAGTCGTGCCAGGCATCCCTGCGTTCCATCTCGCCCCGCCTACCCGTACGATGCGTTATAGATATTCTACGCCAGGCGGCCAAGGCGTGCGTGGTCAAGAGGGAGTTCAAGAAGGCGGACTTGCTCATCAAGCATGCAGTGTGTCTCGTCAGGTGGATGCTCTTTTTTTTTTATACCTTATATTTATGTACAGTTATTCCATCTCAAATTACTTGCAATAAAAAATGTGTGGGGAAGATCCTCTTCTTGAAATCAGAGACTATCACGGTATTAATCATGCCTGCCATTTGTGGCAAGAAAAACTTTTACACATTGCAAAAAAAAAAAATCAGTGTTGTATCAGTCGCGATTCACTATTCTGCGGCATGGAACCTTCATGAATCTGGGGCAAAATTGAAAGTCTTGATCGTTTCATTTACTCCAAAGCTAAAGCATTCAAGGAATTTCTACCAACCAGGTACCTGTTTACTTCACCTGGGTGGAAAGTGGCAAATGTAAATTTAGTTTTGCCAAAGGACATTAGTGCCATGGCGGGACTTGAACTGCGAACCATGCGATTCACAGTCTGGTGACGTATTTACTAGACCACGGCACCTCTTCAGATGTCATTATTTTTATTCAATTTTTCTTTTCAGGGAACATTTTGGAGTAAGACATCCCAAGTATTCAGATGTTCTCTTAGACTTTGGCTTCTATTTGCTCAATGTAGACTCGATATGCCAGTCAACAGCAGTGTATCAGGTAAGTCATATACAACGATTTTTTGTTTGACCAAAGCAGTTTAGAGGTTTCTAAAGGTCTGAATCTTTTAGCTTTTTCTCCTCCAATTGTCATCAATTATTTTTATATTCTACTCTTTCATGGTTTAAACAAAATATAAATGTATACCAAATGAACCAGTGTGAATACAATTTACCAAACATGAAGAAGTTGCCAATTTTGTACATGAAAATAGTGATTATAAATTCCACTCCAGCATTGCCAATTTAAGAGACTTCACTTATTATTTGTCAACCAGTTTTCAGTCCCCTCCCAAAATTTACCAAACATCAAGAAGTTGCCAATTTTGTACATGAAGATAGTGATTATAAATCCCACTCCATCATTGCCAATTTAAGAGACTTCACTTATTATTTGTCAACCAGTTTTCAGTCCCTTCCCAAAAATTACCAAACATCAAGAAGTTGCCAATTTTTTACATGAAAATAGTGATTATAAATTCCACTCCATCATTGAAAATAGAGACTTCAATTATTATTTGTCAAACAGTTTTCAGTCCCCTTTCATAAAGAGCTATATACCTAATATTGTATTTCTTTGCCACCTGTCATTTTTCAGCAAGCGTTGGACATCCGGTTATCAGCGTTTGGAGGTAGGAACCTCCATGTAGCAGTAGCCCATGAAGACCTAGCCTATGCATCCTATGTACATCAATACAGCTATGGCAAGTTTGATGACGCAAAGTGAGTAGCAACAAACTCAAAAACAATTCATCATTACAAGCAAGAAACACAGATATAGGACCCCCTAATTCATTTTAGAATCCGGAAAGTAGGCTTATTTTTACAACATTTGTTAATTAGGTTATTGAAGAAGAATGCTGTCTATGTAGCATTTTTCTGAAATACATATATATATATATATATATATATATATATATATATATATGTATCATTTTCGAAGGTGATACTTCAGCCCTTCCGAGGATCCGGATATGGGTATTTAGACAGAATTAGTGCCATTGTCAGCTGGCCTCCTGCTGACAGTCACTTGTATGAAGAAATGAAAATGTAGAATGCTTCTGTTCTTTCAAAACTGATTATCCCTCTCATTGTGCACTTTCTCTGAGATTCTGAACCAAAGCTGTAGCTGAATTTGTCTAAATACATGTAAATGGTGCATCACTTTTGTAAATATAAAACTTATATTGCTCATCTTCTCCAGGCCCCAGAAAATCATAACTATTTTGGACACGATTATATTGATACAGTTACAACATAGGGATTGTTTCAAACCACATGTTGATAGAGAAACATTGATGCCAATGTCTATTAAAATGCATTGGTATTTTGTCTTTTATCCATGACTAGGGAGCATGCAGAGAAAGCAATCAGTATCATCACCCAAATCTTACCTGAAAATCATCTCCTGCTGGCGTCCTCTAGGAGAGTCAAAGGTGGGTTTTTAAGACAACTTTATTTTACATTTAACAAATGCTTCATTGGGTTTAATCCCAAGTTTACATTGATTAATTAAACATTTTCAAGTTTTCTCTATTGTTATGATTCATTCCTGGATTGTTCTGAAAATCTAGTATCTACACTGTAGGAGATATTCATTTTCATGTGCATGTACAATAATCAATATGCAGATATAAACTTATCCAGATATATCAGTGGTATTTCAAATGCAAACCTACAAGTCCCTTTGGGGAAGAACTTTCAGTACTAACATTGTAATACACTGTACTGTACCTCTGAAACTTCAAGTAAATAATTAAATTGGAATTTTAACCATAAGCACAGCCACAGCTTATTTGTAGAGCTTGAGCACCATTGCACAAAGGAATGTCTTCTTCAATCAAAATTTGAAATGTTTGCTTGTGTCTGTTTCAAACTTGAATATCTGCGACAATGGAACTCTGGATTTGATGTCTTCTGTCTTATGATTTTTGCAAAAGCACAGAGCAATTAATGGTGTATATTTTGCTGACCTTTAGCACTTTGTTTTGAGATAGGTATACACAAGGATATTGAGACCAAGCTACTCTACCAGGCATGTGAGCTCCCAGCCTCACTCAGTCTTGACCATTATTTGACCTCTAGTTAACCGCTAGTCGAGCTCTCTAGTCAACCTCTTTTCTTTGCACTTGAGTCCCAATACTATAATCTTGTGTCTTGTTTTTATTACCATCAGCGCTCATTCTAGAGGAGATAGCGATCGACTCCCACGATAAGGACATCGAGACTAAACTACTCCAAGAGGCCCACGACCTCCACCAATCGTCGCTCAATCTTGCCAAGCAGGCCTTCGGAGAGTTCAACGTTCAGACCGCTAAGCATTATGGGAACCTTGGAAGGCTATACCAATCAATGAGAAAATTCAAGGTGCACATTTTTTGTAACTTCCATTTCCTTAAGCTGACTTTATACCCGGTTGTGCTTGATTTTTAGTTGTCTTTTTATATTAAACTTTTGTCTTTGTTAAGATGTAAGATAAATAGGATGTGTTGATTGTATTGCCCCCTCCCCACCCCCCCCCCCCAAAAAAAAAGAAGATTTATAAGAGAGTGCCCATTTTAAATCAGTGAAAAAGAAAGAGTGTGATTGAAATAAAGAAACTTACGGATTTAACCAAGGAAAAGCTATGATGTATAATGTTAGGAGAAAGAGAAGAAATGAACCGTTTCAATTCATCCAAAATGCATTGATATTGTATTTAACATAATGATTTGTGTTTCAAGCTGAAGATAAAATCATTTAAAAGATATATAAACCAAAGGAGAAGTAAAACATGATGATAAAGCCATGTAAAGCACTTATGGTTAATGAGAGGGAACAAGTCATATTAAAGGCCGCCTGTACTAGTGTGGACAGGAGGGATAAGACCATCCAGCGAGGCCACTGACAGGAGGCTATCTCATCAACTCAGCTCTTAATTAACATAAGAAAAAGAGGATCATGGGGGACCAACATGCACCAAGTAGGCATTGTTTTTTATATAGAGGGAGCAAGTAGCTACAAGCAGTTCAGTGGGGCTTTAAGTGTTTAATTTTTTACATTCTCTCGTACCCTCATATCAGATGGCTGAGGAGATGCATGTGAGGGCGATAGAAATCAAGGAGAAACTCCTGGGTGAAGAAGACTACGAGGTAGCGCTGTCTGTGGGTCACCTAGCCTCTCTCTATAACTATGACATGAAGCTTTATCACCAGGCTGAGAAACTCTATCTCCGATCCATTGAAATAGGTGAGTTCAGGGGGGCATTTCACAAAACTTGTCATCAGTGACAAATGACAGTTTTTGTTATAAGCTTCTGAAATCCTTGCTCCTGCTTGGTTATCAACAGATTTATCACTGATTTTTGTCATTTGTCATTGAAAAAAGGTTTTGTGAAAAGGGTCCTAGGACATTTTCCTCCTTTTATAGTTGATCTCAAGGAAGAATTGTGAAATATCATTTGTATTAAGGGTTTTGAGCAAACAAGAAAACTTGATGTATCTTATGGTTTGCCCAAAAGTACCATGAAATTTCAAAACAGTATCTCTTGTGAAAAAGTACCCGGATGACTGTGCCATGTTGTTTTAATAACTCATGGTTTGCGATGCGCAAATACCTACTCAGGGAATATACACACCAGCTCGTATTGCCTAGGACTTTAGGCATTCTAAGTCAAACCTGAATGTAATATACATTGTATGTGTGTCTTTTTTATACCTCAGGCAAGAAGCTGTTTGGCTCAGGCTACAGTGGCCTGGAGTACGACTACAGGGGACTGATCAGCCTGTACTACAACACCTCCAACCATGCTCGCATGTTTGAGTTCCAGGACATCCTCAACCATTGGAACAACATCCGCGACGGGAACAGCAGTCCTGTGGACATCCTGGAATACCTCGCAAACTGCAGGACGGAACTCACTACGAAGGAGATCATTGATAAGTTCTTCAAGATTGATTAACACCCTGCTCTTGGACACCTGACCAGCTGCAGGACGGAACTCACTACGAAGGAGATCAACCCCCTGCCCTTGAACACCTGACCAGCTGCAGGACGGAACTCACTACGAAGGAGATCATTGATAAGTTCTTCAAGATTGATTCACCCCCTGACCAGCTGCAGGACAGAACTCACTACGAAGGAGATCATTGATAAGTTCTTTAAGATTGATTACCCCCCTGTCCTTGAACACCTGACCAGCTGCAGGACGGAACTCACTACGAAGGAGATCATTGATAAGTTCTTCAAGATTGATTACCCCCCTGTCCTTGAACACCTGACCAGCTGCAGGACGGAACTCACTACGAAGGAGATCATTGATAAGTTCTTCAAGATTGATTAACCCCCTGCTCTTGAACACATGACCAGCTGCAGGACGGAACTCACTATGAAGGAGATCATTGATAAGTTCTTCAAGATTGATTAACCCCCTGCCCTTGAACACCTGACAGGCTGCAGGACAGAACTCACTAATTAAGAGGTCCATGAGAAGTTCTTCAAGATTGACTGTTCCTTAAAGTCTCTGTGAATATTTTTGAATAACTTGCCAACTGCAGGATAGAACTCACCTTCAAGGAGATCATTAATTGGTTCTTTAAAATGGACTGAACATAAATCCCCCAATACCTGACCAACTCTATGACAGCATTTTCCACCACAGAGATTGTTGTCAAGTCCTTCAAGATTGACTATACCTCAACAGCTCTGTGGATATCCTTGATTACTTTGGCTATTGTAGAACAGAACTCATTACCCAAAGAGATCATTTGTACGTACTTCAAGATTGATTATCCCTCAATGATGTGTGGATATCCTTGATTACCTGCGCAACTGACTGACCTGCAAGAAGGTCATCGGGAGTTCTTCAAGATCAACAAATCCTTGGGGAAAACCAACTAAACATCTGACAAGATTGCCTCATGCTCATGCTCAAGAGGTGTTGTGGTCGAGTGGATACATCACCGGTTTGTCGATCACAAGGTCAGCGATTCGAGTCCCGCTGCGCCACTAATGTCCTTTGGCAAGACATCGATCTACATTTGCCACTCTCCACCCAGGTGTTAAATGGGTACCGGGTAGGATGCGCAAGCCAATGTGGTATGCTTAGGAATTTCTGAGCTTAGTAGATCTTGTTGGAATGTTCCCCAGGGAGTGGAGAAAGTGCATACATTGTGTGCGGGCAAGCCAGAATATTATTATTATTATTAAGAGCAACTAATCTCCAGAGAGTTCTACTGTTCAGGATTTGCTGTTTGGCATTTGGAAAGAACACTCCAAAGCTTGTACCTGCGCTCCATGTATCTGCAGACTGCAGTGTACAACACCATGTGTTTATTGTATGTGAAGGATATCAAAAGTAAGCACCTTCTCATTCATTCCCATTTCTTTGAATTACCAGTGAAGCTGTAAACCACTTTGGTAAATATGCATGATCAAGTTATTCCAGGGTAGGTTAGACGATCACATTCAACCAGTGTCTTTTTGTTCCGAGGAAGGAAGATATTTACTTTCATGTACATACAGATATGTGGAGTTACTGTCTTTAACTCTTATCCTGCCGTAATGAATACAGCCCAGTGCCACAGGGCTAATCCCCATTGTGCCAAACCACAAATCCCCCCTGTGCCAAGTTTATTTTGAGATAATCTGATGGTGCGTGCGAAGCACTCAGCACATTACAATGAGCATGAACAATAACAGCTATTGCAAATGCGAGAATGCATGCATTAAGCAGCTAAGCTGTGGCTCGCTAGTGTGAATTAAGCAGCCAATCGATATCGTGTTCGCGTGTACAAAGCACTATAACGGTAGCGTGCATGCGGCCGTATGGCAGGATATGAGTTAAGGCTGATATGAGTGAGCTTAGTGAAGCCAGTGTATATTGGTTATAATGGCTTTTTCTTCATATCAAAGTTCTTTGATGCAGGTTTTATAGTGTTGTCGCTTCATGAAAGCCTGGTACACATGCAGAATTGAATCACTTTCAATTTAGACACCGTTTTTCTTAATTATCATCATGATTATAGGATTTTCTGTCCATTTTAACACTTTTTTTCATTCAAATTAATCTTTGTGCACTTCAATTTCGTACTGGAAATAAGGGATTGTGCAAATGGCAAGGTTGATTTAGTCATTTTGGGTCAATGGCCAATTAGTTTAAACACTTGATTGGACTTCGAAAATGATTGACCAAAGACGAAACTACCTATAAGATTAGCAAGTTTGGGATGTTTTAGGGACAAAATTGAATGAAAAATGTATGAAATTGAATGAAAAAGGTGTTAAAATGGACAAAAAGCCCTATATTTTCATCAGATTTTTAAAAATCAAGTGATTTCATTTCTGGATCTGTAATCAAGACACCATGAACACCATTGAAGATGTTGCAAGGTGGAACACATTTGGCCAACAAATCAAACATAAGTCCATTTTGTGCAAATTATATTTTGTTTTAAATGCCCAATGACCCATTTTCACTGTCAAGCATAACGTGTTTGAATTTTGCAAAGGGTACTCTGTACACTTGTGTAATCAGGGCCTCGTTGCATGAAACATTAAATACCATTGATGTTAATTTCCATGGAAACTTTAATTACATTGGATATTGAGTGATGTTGCAAATAGTACCGGTAGTTACACTGTAATGTTGATGGCAAAGTTACCATCAATGGTAAGTTTTATGCAATGGGCCCAGATCATTTACAAGTACATTGGAACACCTAAGGCCAGTTAGGGGTGAAAGGTGCAGAAAGTTGCACAAACTTTTTTAAAAGCGTATTCTTGTCGTATCTACATATTTTAGTTTTAGTTTATTTAATGAAAGTAGATGGATGATAAATCTTCTGTTAATCTGTGAGGCATATTAAAGTCATCGTGAAAATGGACACATAGCATGAGCAAAAAAGCATTTAGCTGCTATTATTTATTTATAAACTCATCAAACATTTTCTGCAATTAAAGTTTTAGCATTGATATATTTCTTGTTTATACAATGTTATCATATTTGACATTGTTATCATTGAACATCCTGTTTATTCCCCTTTACAATAATGTCCAATTTGTAATGTTATGTAGTAATCCTCGAGAGTGCAGTACACTTGAATATAGGGCCAAGTCAAAAGTGAAATTTTCCCCCAAATCCATTGTTATTCCTTTAAATCATAATCCATGTCCAAATCAAACAAAGAATTCACTATCGACAGTAACAATGCATTTTGCAACATTAAGAAATCTACATTACCGGTAATACCATTCGTAAGTTCATGCTCATCTTTGTAAATATAAATGTCTTAAGCAATATACACAAAAACTAAATGGGTTCTCTCATCTGTTAAACATTTTGTTTTCCTTTTTGTTATCAGTGCAATTCAGAACACAAAATATGAGACTTAAAATTGATGACTACAGGTATACAATTTGCATTTTGGATTTAAAAAGTATTGATTTGCTGATTGTTATGGTGGGAAAACTATCTGCTACTACAATCACTGACCCTTCATGTGTAGCGGTCAAACCTGTCTATTAAGGCCACCCTAGGGCCCTAGTTCTACAAATCTATACACATATTTCTTTCTTTCTAGTTTAAGTAAATGCACACTATGTGACCACTGTATACAGATGTTCTTTAATCTTTATACAGTGATGACCAGGTTTGATGTACTAGTTACATACATGTACATGCATATCCCATCAGATGTAACATAATAGAAAAATTAGAATCAGTAATTGCCAATATCTTTCAGATGAGTTTATTTGTGAGTTGGGCATCAGCTGAATAGATATTTAATTTTCGTATTGCATCTCATGTAGTTTTGGGAGAGAGTCATTATGACTTTTTTTTTTTTAAATTAACTATTTAAGACCACTCTGTGAAATCCTGTACTCTTTACCACCAGGGTATAAACTATAGTCAAACCTGTCTATTAAGGTCACCCAAGGGAAGCAGAACAAGTGGCCTTTCTAGACAGGTTCTACTACACCCACTTCTTTCTTGTGGGAGACAAAATACATGCCACCATAGACAGGTGGCCTTTAAAGAGAGGTGGCCGCTAAGACAGTTTTTACCTTGTATTCTTGTGCAAGCATAGCTCTATTATAATCTGTATTCCAGTAATATATTGTGTTCAAACCTTATCCTCTCTGTGTATACCACTCCCACTCCCCCCCCCCCCCCCACCCTGAAAAAGAAGTATACTTCTTGTATAAAATGCCCTATTTACTCTCTTCATAACACTTCTAATGAAAGATACATATTCATTTGTTTGTTGTTCAAATAAATAAGCAAAAATGCCTGAAAGGGTATGTTCTTTATAATGAGATTGGCTGTAATTTAGTGGAAATGTTGCTTTGTTGTTCATAATTGACAGCTCATTGTAGATAAAAAATGGCTGAATATAGGAAAAATAGGAAAATAGTTTGCATTGAATTCAATGTTCATTTATATATGAAAATGAGGCCTTGGTGTTGATCGAGGCAGTATTGTGTTTGTGATATTTGCAATTTCATGGAATTGTCACTTTGTTTGGGAATCTATCAACTAGGTTTAGATTGAGGCAAACATTTACAAAGCTTTGAATTATTAGAAACAGCCATAAATGTTTATGTCAATGCAATATAAGGGTTTTTATCCTGCATCACCATTCATACATATCAATTTATATATTTACTTTCATGTCACAGATTGATTCTTTGCTTTTACAATTAATTTTTTATTTTGAGGGAATGATTTAGATGCTTTCAATTATGTTTTTTCCTTTGGATGAGACACAGTAGCAAAGATTTTCAAGAGTTCAACTTACGGGCAATTTTAGTACCCTGTTGTATTGCTTGTAGTTTGGAACTTGTGTTCTGATTTAAGTAATGTGCCATATTGTAATGACCACACATTTCTAAGTTAAGTGGACAAGGTTATTGAAATTTTCCTAGGTTTATTTTTGTTTAAATCTTTGGTAATTGTGTTATAGATTATCAGACAAAAGATAGTAGGATAAATAATCACGAAAGTTCATTTGCTTCTCACATTTAAAGCAATACTGGACTGATGAACTTTCTGCCCTAGCGTTTATTGCACAGCGCCATCTCATGGTCAACTTGCCAACAGTGCGTAACCCAATACCTAATGTCCACTTTGCGGACAGAGGACTCGATGCAAGAACCAATAGCGCAGCTCGGGATGCAGCTAGTTACGGGACCACACTGTTACAGCTGACCTGAGATGGCACTAGAGGGGATTTCGCTGTAGGGCTTCTAGGACAGTATGGGTGGTATTCTCGAAAGCGGACTAACTTTAGTCAATGGTTTAATCCCCCGACTAAGTATGGAATGCCAAGTGTCCGTATGAATATTTATTTGAATAATTTGATATATCCCTAAATTACCATGATAACATAATTATTTCATAGTTATATTGTTTATTAATTATGTTATTAATTTTTTTTTAATTGAGTAACAGATTAAATTATTGAAAAACATATTCACATGGACACTTGGCATTCCATAATTAGTAGGAGGATTTAACCCCGGGCTAAAGTTAGTTCTTTTGAGAATACCACCCTTTAAATTGATGTAAATTTTGATGGAATGTCAGTGACTTGTAAAATGATCAGTATTGGATACAATGGGGTGGACCGATTTTGGGGAGGGCAGCCTCTGAAACTAAAATGTTTAAAAGCCCACATGTGAACGTGTGATCTGCCTATCATATATTGGTGTAGACACATTGTGATTTTTTTTGTGAGTGCTGAGAGCTAGCTGCGATTTGTAAATAAGATATCAGTATAAATATATATGTTGACTTGTTTAGAGCATCGCAAAAGTTGCGCGAGCTTGAGTTTTAAACCTGTAAAAAAGCAAGAGATGGCTTGTGCGCGTTATATACATGTACTTGTAGAGTGGAGAGCATGTGATATATATATACCAAATATACATGGAAATACGTATAGAACTTCTAATGAGTGTGATTGTGTTTGATTTTATTGTTCTGTTATGTAACATCACTGCAATTTTTCTTCTTCTTCTTCTTAAAAAAAAAATCAACTCAGGGCGATTAATATACCACATTGTATAGTCAAACCTGGTTTAGCGACCTGTCTACAAAGACCACATTTTTGGTTTCCCTTGAAAATGGTTTTTCATTGAAACATGTACTAAAGGAACCTGTCTACAAAGACCACTTTTCTTATCTCCCGTGGGTGGTCTTTATAGACAGGTTTCACTGTATATCCCATAGAAATCATATTTGGATTATGTAATAAGTCTTTGCCGTATTCACCCTTTTCAATCGATGGACAAGGCCTTTGAGATTGCCTCGGCTTGATTTCTTGAAAGTCTGTATGATCATGTTCTTTGCTTGTAAGAATACAGTTCCATAAAGTGGTGGACTTCAATACAAATGCAATTAATGGTAGTCAGCGCTCGCGAAACAGACCAAAGTTCTCATCACGCTTCAATTTCCTGTATGTTGCATGCACGCGATTGCTGCGGTCTAAATTTGAAATGAACTTCCATATGATTGAGAAGAACAAACAATAAGCAATATTCTTTTGCAAGAGATAAATCTGCATTTGCCACACTAGTTCGGATCCTGGTAGGATTTATTCCTTTAAATGTTAAAGGGAGTGTAGCTTGTCAAATACTGGTTAACGCCATCTACGTCTTCTTTTGGGCACGTAAACGAATTGACTAGATTAATCGTAGTCAGCGACTTAATCTCTACATGGGTAGCGTTAGCGAAACGGACCAAAGTTCTCATCACGCTTCGGTTTCACATGTTGCACGCACGCGATTGCTGCTGTCGTGTCGTCCGTAGTCGTATTATACCCGATTGGCCCTCGAATCAGGCCACAGGAAAGACACAGAGTCTTGTCGGGCTACACTCCCTTTAAGGCACCATAATAGCAGCCATGCTCTTCCCTTTTCTCACACTTACTATCTGTTTGCCTGTCTCTCTCTCACCTCTACACACAACTGCATGTATGTTCCAGGCCACACAATGAATATGTTGTCTATGAAGTCCAACAAAAAAGGGTCAAGACATGCAATTTTAAGTATAAAGTATAAACAAGCAGTTTAATTACTTGGGATACCTAAAAGCAACATGGCAAGTACATACTTCGAGAAGAAATTGTTAAAGAAATACAATGAAAGGCAATATGCCATTTATACATGATCAAATTATAGAGCAGTTGACACTAAAAGCAGCAGTTACAAGAAAACTACAAACCCAACTTTAAAGGATATCTTAATACAGTTGTATGTATTTTCGAGCCAAGATATGGATGTAGAATGCAGTAGTACAGTGGAACATTCTATGGCCGATGGAATTTACAGGGAAGTCCACCCTGATATTTATTTGGTTTTAATAATAGCAGAAAATGAGAGTTTGAAAGTTTTAGCAAAATCCAATAAAGAGAAGAAAGTCATTACATTTGTGAAGTTGTAATCAATTAAACACATAGTGGCAACTCTGTGCTATATCTTTCAATGATTCTCTCCTATTGGTCTGTACAGAAAATTTCTGAAGTCTCCATTTTCTTATTTGTTGATGAAGGATATATTTTTTTCTTCATACAGGAGTCGTGTATAAACAAGTGCAATGATCATCTCTAGAGGATAACTACGATTTCATTAGGGCAAAATTGGAGAGGAAGAACTAGCAAGATACATTCAAGAGTTTCCAGTTTGTGTATTGAATTCACAATTTCCTTTAAAAAAATATCATATTTTGCTGAAACAATCACTGATCTGTTGCTCAATTGTTTTTCCTGCTTCTATTAAAATCAACTGAATATCAGGATGGATAAGAGGAACCCCATAAAATACATTTGAAAAGACGTGAGACCACCAAAAGAAGTCATTGTTACATTGTACTTTTAACAGGAGGCACTTGTTTTTCCGAAGGTTCATGAATATATTTCAGGATATAGATTAGCGAAAGAGTTAAATGTTTTTTTTTTCTCTACTTCTCTGTTTTAATACAAGGTGTAAAACATGTGATTTAATACATGTTCATAGCATCAAAATCTAACTCTATAAAGATTGCAAACTGCATAGCATACGCTTGTTGAATAACATAATTTGCATACAAAAACCAAGGTATTGTTCAAATCTAGCTACAATTAGCACTTTACCCAAATGAAACATTAACAAAAATACATTTAGCAGTACAATAGTACAATCATTATGGTTTTATACTTAGTTGAGTATGTAAAGGCATGAAAGCAGTGACTTGCATTAAATCATTTAAAGTTATCTGTAAAACCTATAATTTTCATCATAAAATATTCAAAAAACGCTACATAACAGCAGCAGTTCAAAAATCTTTTACAGTATTTGTTGATAAGCTATTTATACACTTCAAACATTTTTTTATATCATTTATAACAAGTTTCAAAGTCAACATTCAATTTCCAATTTAAATCCTACATTTAAAAAAAAAAAAAAAAAAAAACGCTACATAACAGCAGCAGTTCAAAAATCTTTACAGTATTTGTTGATACGCTATTTATACATTTCAAACGTTTCTTTCTTTCTTTGTTTCATTTAAAAAAACGGTTTTAAAGTCAACATTCACTTTTCTTTTTAAATCCTACAATACAAATAAATAAAATAATGCACTTCATACCCCCTGTATCCAAAAAAGGTTAAAAAGTTAAAAACCTCCAATACAAATATTTACATAATAAACAAAAAATAAAATATGAATCCAATATCAGTAAACTTGTTTTGTTGTTAAGTTTAGAATGGGCCTTGTCCTTCACAGCATTGCCAACAGCATCAATGAAATCACATTAAAAACTTTAAAAATCAAAATTTCTTTACTTTTTTTTCTTCAACAACTTCATGGCCAAGTACTAATTGCTTTTAATTACCCAAAGATACATGTGTACAGTTGTACACACTACTGGCAAAAACAAAAAAAATCATTAACTTATAAATTTGACTGGCATTCACAAATCATCCATAACACTAGTTCATATAATGATAGTACCGATACATTTTGAAATGTATTTAAGTTACATGATAAGAACAAAGATTCAACAACATACAAACCATGAATACATTATGCAGCCTAGTATGATAAAATAATACAATACATACATTTCATTGATTACATCAGTAATAAATGGTGAAATCAAACATTCAACTTGATCATTAAAAAGGTTAATAATTGGATTAAACATTAATAAGCACACCAAGTATATGTTGCACAATACAAGACCTAATGAATTATAAGTACTATTGATAAATGATGAATACATTAGTTACATTTTCTATACCATGGTTAATCAAATATACAAGAAAGAGTAAATATTATGATTAATTAGTTTTTACCTTTGCAGTGAAGTAAAATGATATATATATTGCAAGGCATAAGCATAGTCACATAATTGTCATCAATATAAAAACAAAAAAGTCATTCACAAGGAATATTGTCTAACAAAGATGAACAAGAAACAGGAAAATACAAATAAATTTGAGTCATACAAACTTTTTAAAAAGAAGGGAAAAAAAAAATTATATTTAGAAAAGAGCTAATAACATACATTTAGGGCAAGTCTAATTTATTTAGTCATCTGGTGTCCCATATTATATAATAAAATATTGTGAAGTTTTGAACACAAATTAACACCAAATGTGTCATTCTACTTCACATACGATTATCAGACTAAAATCTTAGATGTGGTCAGTGATATATGGGACAAAATAGCTTGGTCTTGCCAAAGAAATGCAATAGGTCAAATAAGTAAATAATTTTAAATAAATTTTGCACAAAGAATGTAAAGGTGTAGAGAAGAGACCATGCACAGTTTACCTCAAGGTCAAAAAGTTGTAGCATCTACAAAATATATATTATCTAATAGGGTGAAATAAACAAATATATTTCTATTTGTTTCATGTAAAACACAGGAAAACTGGTTTATCATGGACTGCAATAGGTCAAACAAGTAAATAATTTAAAATAAATTGTGCACAAAGAATATAAAAGTGTAGAGAAGAGATGATGCATAGTGTACAAAATTTTCTTCAAGGTCGAATGGTTGTAGCATCTACAAAGATACATTAAAAAGGTGAAATAAACTAATATATTTCAATTTGTTTCATGTATCATAGCAAGAAAATGGTTTAAGCAAGTATGAAGCTACTTACGCTACCCTGATAACACACAGGATTTTTTTTTGTTTTGTAATACTTAAAACCATTTCAAACTGGCAGTATGAAGTTGCTAATTGAAAGAATTATTTGAGGGAATGGTGAAAAATGGTATCTCTGTTTACTTAACAGATGAATCACCATGAAATCTTTATATTCTGGAGGAAAAAAATATTGAATATCACTTATAGTAAATTAGGAATAATTTTGTGTCTACAAATTCAATTTGTATGTTTTTGTATTGGCCATAAATCCATAGGAAAGAGAGAGATTTGTTTATAATGCCCTGTCATACCAATGCAAATCTTTTTTTCTTTGTACATTTTCCCCCCTCTATTCTCTGGAAACAGAATGGGCAAGCCATGGGCAAAATCTAAAGTTGTAACAACAACAAAAAAGTTATAAAAGAAGGTGCATGAAAATGGTTTACTTTTAGTGGAATCGGTGAAAAATACATGGAAGCAGAGAGCGATTTAACTCTTGAAAGATTCTGAAGATCTTGAGTAGAAAAGCAATAGAAATTGCAAAAATCACCCCAGGAAATCTCATGAGCAAAAATGTAATTTTGTCTACACTTTGTACTTTGTTCTACACACCAATATTGCTTCCTCGAGCAAAGCAATATATATTTCATAACATACATGTACATCCAAATGCACAAAGTTTCAAAGGTTCTCATATCTACGTGTATGATTGTGACGATAGGGTGTATTTTGCTCTCACTTACAAGGGGTTAATATTTTAATCGCCCATCCATATTATGTGAATACAATTGCTATCTGCAAACTTGCTTTGCTTTGTCTGCAGTATACAGGTGATCAAATGTCGTGAACAAGAAATATGGCCACTGGGAGAAACCGCATGGAGAGATACATTGAAACTGAACCTTCTGAACCGAACACATTGTGATCTTATCATTTAACCCTCGATCTTCCTTGTTTGACCTCTAAACAAGCATTTCGGTGAGCATCTGTCCGTCTGTTGCATTCTGGGATATCACTACCCCTCTGTTGCGTCGTAGCCTGACGATACGGCTAGGTTCCGGCTCGTTCTCTTTTGATTCCATCGCATCGGTCGATTTATCTTTGGTAGCTGCTGGCTTCTGAATGGGGATCTCTGTTAATTTACCAGAACTGCAATATTGGAGAAGAACAACAAAAGGAAGAGAAGAAAATGTGAGATGGAGAAAAAGAAGTTAAAAAAATAGAAGAAAACAAAAGATGAAAACTCTGACAGTATGAAAAATAGCATTCTGGAAAATTTATAATTAAAATTGTATCCTCTTAATTTCCCAAAACTCTTTATAACATGATTTTTTGTTTCATTTATACGGCTGCTATTTTGAACATTTTTTTTTCTTCCTTTGATAAACCAGATCAATTACGATTACAATCATCTTAAGTAAATGATTCAGAATTAAACTCCTGTTAAAAACAATGTCAAAATATTGAATGGTACATTTGAAATAATTCTGATTTTCAGACACGCATACCTGTCTTGCTTTGTAATTGTTTGAGATAATCCTTCGCTCATGGCCTTGAATGCATCGACTCCTGATGACCTGGATGACTTTGGCCTTTGACCTGTCTGTAAGGTCATAGCATTGAGTTCACGCAGGATGTGTCCGGGGCTGGCGTTGAGCTGGATCCTGGAGAAATAAAGAGGAACATAACATTTTGAAACTTCCTAGGGAAAAAAATCTGAATGGTCTGTAAAGGCAAATATATTAAAGCCCCACCGCGCTACGTATTGCTACTTGCGCCCTCTATATAGCAAGCAATGCCTATTCAATGCCTGTTGGTCCCCCATGATCCCCTTTTTCTTATGTTAATTGAGAGCTGATTTGATGAGATAACCACCTGCAAGTGACCTTGCAGGGAGGTCTAACTCAACTATGACAAACTACTGCAGAGGGGCTTTAAAAGAAGAATGAATAACTTAGGGCAAGATATCTTTCCCCCTCTCTATGTTTATCTAAAATCATTAGTCAAAATTACATAATCCTTGTCACCCCCAATCCCCTCCTCTATGAGAGTGCATTATGACTATGGGCCATGCTGAACTGCATGAACTGCATGCAGTCAAATGCAATAATCATAATTGATTGTGGATGTACATGAAGTTATGGGCCAAGCAATTCCCGCATATTACAGTAAATTCATAATAATTTGCCTTGCTGATATGTGGCTCAGAAAAATTGCTTAAATGTAGTACATTGGAGCTTGTATATGCAATAGTGTGGAATGTCCATATGTACCGTATATGAACAGGACTATACTTGAAGTTGATGCACATCAAGATGTTTACATTAAAAATAATGTTTTGAAAAACCTACATGTGACACTACAATCCCTTTTAAAGAATCAAGACCCAATTAGTGACAAGGTTAAATTTAAAAATAATAAAAAATACCATTCTATATATTTCTGCACCCTCTAATAAAAAAACTCTTAATTACCGGTAGTCACCAAATGGTCATTGGACACTAAATTTCAAATTCCCATAGGCTTAACACAGAGAACATCTGGTTTCTTCCAGTAAGCAAGGGGTTAACAGATGGTCTGTACCACCCACCTCTTTGGTGTTGTTCTCCTGCCACCGGTCCTAGTCCTCGTCTTGCCGTCTCTGCACGGAGTTGGAGTCTGGCCGGCAATACGGGCTGATCTCCTCAGGGGGCTGAAAGGGGTGACGGGCGTCGTCAAGCTGGATTCCTGTCGGTACCGGTTGCTGTTGCCGGGCGTGGCGTAGGGGTTTGGGGTGAGGGGCGAGTTGAGTATGAGGGCACGGGCACTTGGAGAATTAGGACTGGAGAGGGAAATACTCCAGAGTTGCTGGGGTCTCAGTTTAGGCTGTGGCGCAGCGGTGTGTTTCTTCTGTAACATCAATAGAAGTTGGAAAATAGAAAAAAAGCAACAATAATTTCTACAAAACAGTTGACTTTGTTTCAAGGATCTTCAAGCAGATACACCTCAAGTTTGAATATTATTTAAGAAAGAACTAATAGCTACTTTAGCTAGCATACTGTACCCTCTCCAATATTCTACTTTGAGCTTTCAATGAAATTTAAAAAAAAAACAGGAGAAATGCAGTCATTTGAGAAAGGAAAAGAGTATAAACACAGTTATAAATATATTTTATATATTTCAATTTCAATTTTATTAATGTTTCCAACAAAACATAACAAATCAACTCTAAACATTTACAACAATTTAGGAATAAATTGTACATATTGGAAACAGAGGGGTCCACTACATGAATACCGGTACTACTGTCTGTTAGCAATTTAGTTGTACATGTACATGTACCTGTAGATCAATATTCTGATTCAGTATGAAGGTTCTTTGGATTTTTTCCCCCTTCTAAATTGATAGCACAGGCTGCTGAAGAATTAAAAAAAAATAAAATTATAAACTGTTTCTATGACTCTAAGAAAGATAGATAGATAGATAGATAGAGAGAGAGAGAGAGAGAGAGAGACAGAGAGAGACAGAGAAAGAGAAAGAAAGAATTTTATTCCAACTCCATTCCACTTAATAGTGAACAGTTGAACACAGAAACCAACTGCTAAATTTATTGCATTTTCCACTCAAGATGAGAAAGAGAGAGAGAAAGAGAAAGTTCAGGGAACCCAGTGGAACCATCAACAATTCTGCATACATGTAGGGTAACTCTGAGGTGGAAACCCACTGGAAAGAATTGAATTTCTCCCGCTAAGATTTTGAATTGGCATCGATCCAGCTTGAATTTGTTGTAGTAGACTCGATGTCAAAACAGTAGACCTTGTGTTTGGAGTTTTGCGCTCTGGAACTATTTAGCCTGAAGTGAACCCAGAATTTATATTCCTAAACCACTGTTGTAGAGAAGGCTCAGATAGCGATAAGCACATTAAGAAGAAGATTACAATCTTGTATGCATGTTATACATGTAGCATGGGCTGAGAGAATGGGCTGTCAGGTGTCAGCGCAGAGAGAGAGAGAGAGATAGAAAGAAAGATAGAAAGAAAGAGGGGGATTTAAAGGGAGGTCGTTTTTATGTGCAACAGCTTAAAGTCCTTAATAACTTCTTGAAACTTAATGGCCCGAATTCACAAAGCAAGGTTTGAGCTCAGACCAAGGTTTGAGGTCAAACCTCCTTTTGTTTCGCCAAACCTCCTTTTGTTATTTACAAACCTGGTTTGTAAATAACAAAAGGAGGTTTGGCGAAACAAAAGGAGGTTTGAGCTCAAACCTTGCTTTGTGAATTCGGGCCAATGAGCCTTGAAGTTCTAAAAGAAATCATTGGATAATCAGCTGAATCTTATCTCAGAGTCTCAGACTCAAGAGAGAGAAAGTCATTAAAAGAGAGAATATAGAGAGAAGAGAGGGAGAGAGAGAGAGAGAGAGAGAGAGAGAGAGAGAGAGAGATGAGAAATAATACAGGGGGAATGTCAGGAAGCAATATGTAAAACAAACAAACAAATTATAAAAAACCAAAAGGATCAAAAATATGTTCCTGCATTATTTTCTGATATGGTATATTATCTGAAGGCCATCACAATATGCACAGAGACAGTATATTTAGTTCAGTAACTAAACATGTACTTGTATGTGTATGTGCATGTACTGCTCATTTACTGCCATCACTTTTCACAAAATCTTTTCACAAAATAATTACAAGGACTCAGCTTTTTATTCCACATTCCATAGTTCCATTTATGACCTCTTTTGACTCGCATTGCATTGTAGCTCAGAGAGGCCCATGGAAGGGGTGTAGAATTTGCATTGTATCATGGGCTTTATGGCAGTTGAAATTCTGAAATTCAAATTTAAATTGATAGTTATCTTTTATGCATAAGTTTGTTTTGTAGGCCCTAAAAATTATTGTAAATCTACATGTGCTGCAGTGGTTTGAAATGCTTACAAGTTGAACTGATGGAATTTAAAATGATATTCTATTTAAAATGACTGTTCTCAACTATTTTAATGAATAATCATACATGTTCATGCTCGTATTCATACAGCATAAATGCCCTCAAAAAAAGAAGGAATGACTTGAAAGCCAGTATGTCTTGATTGTAGATTGGATTGTAGATTGGATCATTGGAGGAATTTTGTGATCATGTAGACTCCACTCAGGCAAACTTGCAAAGAAAATGCAAAGATTTGTCACAAATCTGAGCATCATTTGTGGAATTCTATCAAAAATTAAAAAAAAAAGAGATAAATGTAGTTTTACAGGGGAAGTCATGTGAACAATTTCCTGCCCTTCCAAGTCTCCACATCCACTTCTTTGACAGTTAGTTTAAGAATTGTTTTTTTTACAAATATTTTGAATTACCTTTAAATCTGAACTCAAAACCTATCTTTTCCGGCAACATTGCGAATAATATGTGACATATTGAGGGAGCCAGGCGCCTTTGAATGCTTTTGCAGATAAATGGCGCTATACAAATGCTGTTCATCATCATCATCATCAATTAAAGATAAAGGTGAGTTCTGGTAATGCGATTGCATCGTGAAAGAAAAGGTGTGGAATGGATCAGAAAAAGTTGATCAAGTAGCATATAAGTATTGGTGTGCACTGCAAGGTTCTGGAGTCATCAAAATCATAATAAACTTGGCCCAGTCTTGGTAAAGTAACAAGCACTGTACACAGAAAAATGGATATGGGATTACACAAATGGTGTCGGGGCTACCTACCTTGATTTCCTTATCTTTCTATGCTCATTACTCGGCCAGTATACATTTTCTTCCAAAAGTTATCTACCGTAATGAGGATCCGAGACATTACGGTAGATAACTTCACACATGCGCGTGCCCGCCCACAACCCACTATCCGTATGCACTTGTATTGCATTGTGAAGCGGTTTGCTGTGAAACCTGTGAAAAAGTGTATTCTACTACTAATATCAACGTGTTTCCGAAAAATACTCCAAAAATAACAAGAAAATTGACACGAAACAGGTAATATTCTAATAAACATAACGACTTTTAACTCATGATCTTTATTTGGACATTTGATGAATATTTACTTCATTTTGGGTATGTTTTAGACTTTTAATGAGGTATCTCCACGTCGGAGCTTTTACGGGTCAAATTTTGGATAGGTATCTGAACAAGCGCCTGAAATATTACTGCACCTCAACAGAATGAATCACCTGGTCAAGCTTAGTTTAGTTTACTTTTTTTAGAATAAAAACTTGGCCAAGTCCAGGATGAAAATGAAAGTTAGCAATTATTGATAAGTGCATGGATTTTATTGTTGATTGATCATGTTCATGAAGTCCTGTTTACATACCGCTTTCGCTTTGAACGTGCCCCATGCTTTCTTCACAGTCCTCAGCCGCCGGGTCGCCGTCCCTCTGGCTGTCCTCAAATGCTGCAACCCCATATTCACCACTTCCAGCGGCTCAGCAGCAAAATGTTGTCTCTTGTCCGTTGAAAGAAGGTGGTCACCTTGGTCTTTCTCGGCTTCGTTTTCTGAATAATCCTGATGTAAATCATTTGGAACTCTCAGATTCATTGAATGAACTCGAGGAGAAAGCAGACTGCAGCTTTCGTAAGACATCGCTTGAGGATTTCAAATAAAATTACGGTTTTAAAAGGTTTTGTCAAACAGCGGCGTGATGTTTATCTTCTCTCTATATAGGCGCAGCGCAGCTAATCCTGTTTGAAATCACCCGCTTTTCATATAATTTTGTAATAAACAGAATGGTGTACGTTTGTTGCTAACAAATGCGGATCATTTCGCTGTGCTTTCTAACGGCTTAGGACCATAGTTTAAGAACCATTATCATACAACAGTCTTAGATACCTCCATTCGATATAGGTAATATGAACATGCTTAAATAATTTTAAACGCATCAATAAATGTAAATATATTATTTTTTATTACAGAATATTAATTTTATTACAATTTTACGAAGTTAAATTTACAACTAAAATCCAAGTTATTTATATTTAGCAATTATTTAAATCATAATCATAATAATTTCCCCCTATTAAGTATTATGGGATGTTCCATTTTACGGTACGGCGGAGTCACCTGATACATGCATAATGCATGCCCTCCACATTTGTACAGTAGTATCTCACTTGCACTGTACTTACACCGGTACCAGATCACGGCTGGACTTCCGCACTTCGCTCAGTATAGCAGGTAGGCTACATCTATTTGAAGTATCCTCGAACGGTATCTTGTAAGGTGGTCTCGCCAAGCCAGCGGGGGTGTGTTCTCTGGAGACCGCTATCTTGCCTACGTATTTTGCAAACAAGCTCACTCACTCCAAGTTATCACTGCTGAAAATTGTTTATGTTTTGTGGGATAGTTCGTCTAGACACCAAAGATGGAATACAAGCCACTGAGAGTCTTCATAGACGTAATTTTCTTTATTGCAGGTAAGGAAAATAATGAAAAGATAAGATTTATTTCAACTTAAAACTTTGAGTTGTTCTAGAAGAAGTAGAACGTGAACAGTCTCATGTTTTTTTTGTTTTGTTTTCTTATTGTATTCTTCTGTACTCTGCTTGTTTTGGTGAGAGGGGTTTATGCCTGATGTGTGAAAATGTTTGTAAACAACAAGGAATGGATTTATATACTAAATACTGAAGGAGTCGGAGCATCTTTTTTCTTCTTCAGGCTTAGAATTTGTCGAATTTATGATCACTAAATAGGTGCACAAAAATGAAAGTGAGCTTGTAAGTTTCAAAATCACTGTCTATCATAACTTTTTTTAGGAATGGGAATCTGGAATAAACTATAAAGTAATGATTATGATTATAATTTTAATTTAATTGGAATAAAATTATTATTAAGTTTGTTATATAAGGGCAATCCAACAGTTAAAATAATTTCATTCATAGGAAAGCAGAAAAATAGATATTACAGAATGGTGGAAGTTTGAAATAAATCAAACCAATGCAATAGTAAGAAAGTTATGTCTTGCACATAATACAGTATTAATGATTGACTAGTGTAGACACACGCATGATCTTACCGAGAGTACTGCCTGCAACAACTCGAGTACGGCATGGGTTCCTTGTGTGGGGTGTAGGCAATCCCTTCATACCGGTACTTATATTCCGTACATTATACTTAATTTGAAATCTTCATTTTTATTTGTGTGTGTGAAATCTATAGGCTTGTATAAAAGAAATTAAAAAAAATAAAACTTTTTTTAATGTAAAATGTGGGATAAATAAACTTCAAACTTCAAACTTGAAAATATTCACATCCATAGATTGGCAGGTACTGGTAAACTGTTTAGGGTTCTACATGTAGCTGTACACAAGGTGATTGGTACTGTTTAAAAAAAAAAAAAAAATTTGATCCATGATTGTGTGAACGACAGATTGTACATACATGTATAAACAGAAATTACACATATTGATGGGAATTGAGTCCATTTCTATTACAGTATATTGTGCTATTTAGCCTAACTCCACTCCCTGGAGTTATATTTAGCCATGAATAAGAGTGATTTAATAAAAAATAATCATTGAAGTCTCCAATTTTGTAATGCAGAGTGGAATTTATAATCACTTTTTTGTGTACAAATTGGCCATTTCTTGTAGATTTTTTGGGGTGATTTTTCATTCATAATGTTATTTAAACAATATGCACTTTTAATTTTTTGTTAACCATGAAAGAGTGGTAAATATCACTAGTTGTGTCCAATTAGAGGAGGAAGAGCTGATTAATTTCGACCTTTAGAAACCCTGAACTGTTATTTAAAGATCATCATACTTGGGTTCATTATCCATGAAATCTCCCACTGCATAAATAGACCTTTTTATGATGAGATAATCATTCAATTGGGGGGCTCTTTAGCATCTATTGAGTCTGATCTATTCAAAAGTGGAAAAGTTTAGAGTTTCTAAGCCGCTTGTTTGGAATCTGTTTGTCCTACAAATGAAAAGCTAGACTGAGCACTTTCATTGATTCCGTTCAGCGTTCATTTATCTGCGAGCAGAACTAGGAGCCGTGACACTTGGCTTTCAAGAGAGGTCATTGAATGAAAGTGGATGGGTTGGAAACTTGGAATGGATCCGAGTTTCAGTCCAATGACTACCATTTTTGAGGAAAATACTGTGAACCCTGTATATTATTGAGACTGCTCAAGGAAAACATGAAAAGTTGTCTTTATACAATGTACAGGTTCCTTTAGTACAGGTTTCAATGAAGAACCATATTCAAGGGAAACAAAAAATATGGTATTTATAGACAGGTGTTCTTTCTATACAGGTGGTCACTAAATCAGGTTTGACTGGACAACAATTTACCTCTATAAATCATGGTGAACGATCATGTAACCTGTAAAACTGTAGTCCTTTATTTTTTTTAAAGCCCTTTCAACATAAGATAACTGTAACTTTTAGGCCATGATTCCTTCCTTCATGATTTCTTCAAATTTGAGGTTCTTTCTTTTCTTTTCTTGTGAGTGTATGAAAGTTCTCCTTGTCCCTCAAGAGAGCATCAAGTATTATTCATATTCAAATAAAACAATGTTTTGAAACCTAATGCAAATAAATGTCTCAGCTCGCTTGAGACCCATCTGCTCGTTGCAAAGTCCATATAGTTACACATTTATCAACAGCTTGTGTCTGGGCATTGATAGATCACTTCAAGAGTCTCATAACTACCCTTGAGGGTAGCCTGTTCGCACAGAGGATTTCTTTTTATAAAGAAACGTCTTATTAAGAATCGTCAAATAGAGCGAAAGCGGCACACATGCATTCTTGTATGAAAAGTGTAGTACAGAGATATATCTATAAAGAAACTAGTTGATTCATTGAATTGTAGAATGAAAATTCAAAGGATTGCATTTTAAAAAAAACACTTTAGAACAAATAACAAATGATAATTTTTGAACAAATGGACTTTACCTCATTTGCCACTGAATTGAAGCTTTTCTCAAGTGTTTCAATCACCAAAAGGAATTTTAGGGAACCCATAAGGGCCATATCCCTACAATGTACTCTGTATTCAAAATATGAGAATGAAATGGTATTCTATAAAGAGATATCAGAAGCTGAAATACATATTAACTCTCAATACACATTACAGTAACTTGTCATAATAGACGAGTCTAGACACATGCATGATTGTCAAAGCGAAAGGGGCACGTTACAAAGAAATATCTAGAAAGAAGTTAGCTGTGAAGAGGCCAGTTGACATATGACAGCTGTCCAGTCATCAGTGTGGGCTCATTGATGCAATGTTCACATTAGAAATGGACCCTGATTCTTTGTTGAGCTCTGTTCGAAATGATGCTCAAACCTGTGTTTCGCAATATCAAATTTTGTTACATGACATTCACACTACCGGTACTCGAGAAAATATAGCAAATGGTTTTTATACAGTTTTACAATGAAATTTGCTATTCTGAATGGGGAGGGGGTCACTTTTAGCCAAAATGGGAGTGGTGTTTCTAATACCTTTGTTGAATAATGCCCATTCCGAAGTGGCAGCGTAGCCGATGGTAGCTTTAGAACAATGGATGAGAGCTTCAAGAGTGCCAGAGTGTATTTAGCTGGCGGAAGCTGCTGGCTTTCCATTTTCTTTTACCTCCAAATGATCAGGAGAGTGATCTGAGGGTTTGTTTACCGGTAATCTTCACTTTAAAGAGCTTGGAGGAGGAGGAGGGGGAATTTCCATTGTATTCTTCTAAACAAACCTTTATGGTCAATGATTTTTATTTCTTTTACTTTAGAATGAAAGTAGAATTAAAGGATTTACTCTTCACCTGGCAAAGCTTTTTTTAAAAGAAATTTCCACTGTTCTCTAACTTCTCTTTATCCTTATAAATGGTAATTTTTGTATTTTGTTTACCCCCAGATGAGATGCTCAGTAGAATCTAAGTATTTAATTGTCTTTTTGAAATGGACTTTTGGAGAAGCAAAGTTTTTGTATCTTCCGTCCTCACAGAACTTCAGTCGACCTTGACGAATACAGAAAAGACAACTTGTTCTTTTAGGTTGCCTTATCTATTGATCTGTGTTCAGCGAAAAATCAATAGCAACTTGTTCTTGTTCTTGTTTTTGTTTTTTTGTTCTTGTTCTTTTTGGTTACTTATCTATTGATCTGTTTTCAGAGAGAAATCAATAGCTCAAGCAGCCATGCCAATATACTCCTATCTACTGCATTGTTATCCCTTTTTCTTTTCTTTATGTGACTTTTGCTCATTTCCACTTTTCTTATGTTTGAATGTTAAATACTTCCTGATCCTATAAAGTAATGAGTGTGCCCACTACTCCTGACTTTCTGCATCTCCGATTTCAAATTGGATCTTTTGATGCTTTTCCTTTTAATAGTTTCTGTTTTAAAGCTTCCAGGCCAAGTTGCCACACAAACCAATATTGGGCCAATTTGAAAGAGGCTACGTGTACATGTAGGTTGACACATGTTTTGTGATTCGACACTGAATGACCTTTCCCTCATTTTGTAATTTTTGTTCAATATCATAGAGAACTACAATTTCATAACATCTGAATCTGTCATGCTTGTGACTCGAAATGGGATGTTATTGCACTCTTTCAAAGCATTCTTGGGCTCTTTGATATTCCTTATGTCTCTCTCTTTCTCTCCCTTCCCTCTCCCTTCTTTCTTCTTTCCTCTCTTCCTCCATAGCTTCCTCTCGCCCTCCCTCCTTTTCTCTCATTCATTCTCCCT